ACAAGTCCACGGGGGCTAATTCGCTGCCGGTTCATTTCTATGATTGATTTTTGGCCTTTGAGAGTGCCACCAACTTTAAGAGTGCACAATATCGTTTACTTCGACTATACTTTTTTCATTAATTGAATAGAACTGGCCGATACTTGATGAAAATCCGTATTAAAAAGCTAATCAATACAGTTTATTGTACGATTTTCACTATAAAGGGTTTTACAAAAACCGCGACACGTGTTTCGCTATACAATAGCTTCCTCAAGCATAACTATGTTATGCTTGATTAGTTTTTTATACCTTTTTCTCTTCTACACTTCTACATCATTTCCATAAACCAGTACTTCAAGTTCTGGAAAAACAAAATGAACATTTCTTATAAATTACTGTTGAATCCTTCAACTCCGTCTAGCCAGTCTCCCCTATATCTTACTGAGTTTAAAAAAAACATGAGAATATCATTTTATCAGGCCAAAAAAAAATGTCTATTTTGAAAAACCACGATGATCAAGGATACTTGCCTTGATTTGTACAAGACTTGTTTCCATCCAGTACGCCGATCAGATTCGTGATTTGAAATATTGGAAATATTGTTTTAATTCTTGACAATTCAGTGTATATCGAAACTGGTGAGACAAAATAGTTATTTTTATCGTTCATGGGTACTTCTATTAATAAAATATTCTTTTACTTCTTCAAATATTCTGTGTTTTTTTTGTTTTATCGTTTTTTTCCACTATAATATGGGTCTCTCTATTAGGATTTACACGCAGTTTTCAAAACTTTGCGGAATCCCACACAGATATAGTTATTTATTTTTGAAATTATATGAAGGACTATTGAATATAGATTAATAAATATATAATAATGTAGCCGTAACTACGTGGTAGGAGATCATAATGAAAATAGAAATGAAAATTTTTATGTTTTTTACCACTTTTAATTGTGACTAACGTTACTGAAGTTACAATATACAATAAAACTAAATACTAAACAAATAAACTAATACAATAAAACTTGAATATAGATTAGTTATTTATTTATTTTATTCATTCAGTTAATCCTGAAACCAAAACGGAAAGATGACAAATTATGTGAACATTTGAATTTGAATTTCAATGAGACATGAGCAAATTAATACAAATTCAATTCAAAATTTTTTTTTCGCTTCTCCTTTTAATTTTTTTCGTATACTCGCTTCAGCTCTTACGATTTTTTTGTTTATCTAGGAACTGAAGGATAATAATAATAATAGGTAATATTTTATATTTTCGAAATATTTTCACAATTTTTTCTTTAATTATCTGTCTGACAGCAAATTCAATAAATACAATTTTTTTATTCATGAAATCCATTTATGCAGGCACCTCTTAAAGAATCTAATACGTTTTGTTTATCATGTGTTTTTGTTGGTTATGTTTTGAAGATATTTAATCTTGTGAGATGTTTTTTATCTAGAAGGAACAAAATAAGCAATGACACTATTCAACAATTGAATACCTATTTATGAAAATTTCTACCTCCGGATTCCTTTGAAGTCTTATTCAGTAAATCTCTGTGTCTGAATTTGTAGAGTAGAGAGGGTGAGTGTAAGCCCACAGCACTCAGCTCACATGTGACCCATTCTACATCCTCCCGAGGAGTTGTCCTCCTAGGTTATCGTCCATTATGTCCTTTCCAGGAAGGTGGGCAGGTCACTAGAAGACATCTCCCTCGTATCGGAGGCCAAGACTCGTCGAACACACACTCTTATTGACGATAACTCGGGACACTCGCATATGACATGCCTGACAGATTAATCTTCCTATTCACACATCCTGCATAGAGGTCTGTCCACTAGCGATATATTATGAAGGTGTTTCCTTAGTTGACAGTGGCCAAGTTAGAAATCCTACTGTTGAGCGTAGATTTTTTCTGATCACCGCCAGATATTTCTTCGGCGCCAGCTTTCCAGGGTCGCCCAGGGTGATCCTGGCAAGACTGCATCCTTTGATTTCATTCCATCTCTTTAGGGATTGAACATGGATGTAACGTTTGGCTAGCTTTGCAATTGTCGAAGTCATCAGGCATAAGTGCCTCTGGTTCCTAAAATTCTTAATCCAGCCGCTTCCTTGGCTAAGGAGTCGGCAATGCGATTACCTTTACTCCTGTCGTTCCTTTTAATTGCCAAAGCCCCTACCGAGGCTTTGGCTAAATCTTGGTGGCACTCTAGTATTAGGTAACATGTCATCTGTTCAAGGCTAATAGGGTTTGTCTGCTATCAGTGCAAATTGTTATGTTTTTGCTAGAAATTCCTTTCCTGGTTATTTCTTTCATGGCGATTGAGATACCAGCCAGTTTTTTTTTGAACCACGCTGGTATTTTTCCCATTCCCCACTGAATCCTTTGGCTTATAGATTTGGAGTAGACCCCACATCCTGAGCCTTCTTTGGTTTTTGAGCCGTCTGTATATATGCGTATTGCCTTTGTAGCATTCAACTCAGTGGTCTATTTTACGTGTATTTTGTAGGGTTTATTAAACCCAAACCTGGGTTCAATTACATCACTGGTTGCCTGCAGCAGAGGTTGCGCAGTAAGCGCTTCTCGCCAGAGGCTCAGCCTCAATTGACCCATTCCTACTTCGAGGTTTACACCAGTCGTGCGCAATCGTAACATGGCCATTAACGCAACCTCCTCAACGTACAGGTCCAGAGTGGTCAGGCCCTATTCAGTAAATTACAGCCTATGAAATAACACGATTTTTGTTTTATAATGCAACATTTTTTTAAATCATTTAGGAACTAAGGATTATTTCTCTGAAATTTCCAATTCGATGTTGAAAGTTCAACTCTGATTTATTCGAACGTGAATAAGGTTTTTCGCAGAAATTTCAGAGAGCTGCTCATCTTATTCGTGAAAGAGCATATCGAAAAAAATATCCATCTGAATAATACCGAAAAAAAAACGAACCCAAAACTCCCTTAAAAGCATTGAAAACGCATAACTCACTGAAAAGCATAAAATATATAGGAACGAATCTGATAGATTTTGACGTGTCCTAACAAAACATTTTTTGAGACAGAACTTTTTTGAGAGTTTGGGCCACCCAAAACAGTGATTATTTAAGCATGCAGAAGTTATAAACATATTCAACCTGTAATCTCCTCTGGAAGAAATCAATGCCATGTTATTCTTTACTACATTTCTCAGTGATATTTTTTTTTGTTTCGGTACGATTGAAATTCAATTTAGACGTTTTCATTACTGAAACTTTCACTTTCACTAACAAACCCAAAATGCTAAATATCTGAAACTGTGAGCATATGTTGGAGTCGAGTATACTAACACAAAAAAGCGCTAATCGAATGTAAGTAGCTCGCGAAATTTCAACATTCACCATTTCTTTTGATCATACCTCGTATTGAATTTCACTAGTTCGGACTTCCATTGTCTAATATATAAAATGATTTGAAATCCCTGAAATAACTAAAAAAGAAGAATTAAAAAAAATAGCTGTGAATTATGTTAAGCAAAAAAAACAAATGAAATAATAGTGAAATAAAATACAATTAAAAATAAAACAATTGAACAAAAATTAAAAATAAAGGTATACAAAATGAAAATTAAGATAAAAATAAAAAAGTTGAGAGATTTCAAGCCAAGTTAGTTCACGACGTTTCGATTGGTAGTATCCACAATCGTCTTCGGGTGATGACTGGACTGATTCCTCCGAGAGATGGCTATTTATGGGTCGTTCGAGTACTTTCACTTATCCCCGCTTTCCATTTTTTTCCGCTTCACTGGTTCAGAGGGAGATGACCGTTTGGCGGGAGTTGGTCATTTTTCGCTTGATGATGGGTTTCCATATGTTGCGTATTTCTACGCTGGCTTGGCTGAATAGGTTGTTGAACAACATGTATGCGGCTTCCTTGAGTTTTCTCCTAAACCAATGTTCCTCTCTGTGCAAGATCTCAGCTTGGGACCACTCGATGTTTTGTTGATCCACAACATGGTCTGCTATTCCTGATTTGCTGGTTTCCCCTCGCTGAGTGTGGCCTCTTAGTTTTACCAACATAGGATTTTCCGCACTCACAGGGTATCGGGTAAATGTAATTCTCAGAATCACAGTCCGCGTTTGGTGGCCTGGTTTTCGTGAGGCTGCTACGGATATTGTTACCGGATCTGAAGCAGGTTCTGATGTTGTACTTGGAACCAATTCTTCTTATCCTCTCCGACAACCCTCTGATGTAGAGAAGTACAAGTACTGGTTGTGACGGCTTCTCTTCCTTGCGAGGCTCCTGCTGTCTTCTAGCCAAAGTCTTTTCTACCATCGCTTTGGAGTAGCCATTCTGTTGAAGATCATTTTTGATGATGTCTAGTTCCTTCTCGAGACCTTCCTTCGTGTTACAGAGCCCGAAAGCACGGTCTAATAGAGTCTTGATGATCCTTCTTCTAGTTGATTGATGGTGGTTGGATTCGTGATTCAGATACTGTCCCGTGTGAGTGGGTTTTCGGTATACAGATGTTTCCTACTTAGTGTCGGTCCTTTTGTATCTCTTTATTTTTAATTTTTGTTCAATTGTTTATTTTCACTTGTATTTTATTTCACTATTATTTCATTTCAGGTTTTTTTGCTCAATATAATTGTTATTTACAGCTATTTATTTTTAATTCTTCTTTTTTAGTTGTTTCAGGGATTTCAAATAAAATGATGGAAGTCTGAACCAGTGAAATTCATCACGAAACATTGTCAATCACCTTCAAACAAATACCTCTTATTATTGATCTTCAGACGTGTCACGCTACATTTTTCTTTTGGAAACTGAATACACTAATCGTTTCTGTGTAAATAAAAAAAAATGAATTTTCAGTTACAATTTTTGCATGAAATTCATGATATTGTCGATCCGCTGAAAATATCTAACTTCTGGTCCTCCATTATTTCATTTTGGATGCAATCGAACATACATGAAACGTGTGTTTTTTTTTTTGTTATGATATGTAGAAATGATTCATGTTTTTTTTTGTAGGGGTGCTACCCATTCGCACGCAGTAATCATGAACTCAGATGGAGAAATTGTGGGGGACGCCCATGGACCTGGGACAAATCATCACCTAATTGGCATGCCCGAATGTTCTAACAGGATAGCGTCACTAGTGATCGAATCAAAGAAAAAAGCTGGGTTACCTGTATCCATTCCGCTAAGAGCTCTGGTAAGACATTTGTTGATAAACGTAACGAAATGCTGTGACTTCAGTTCAGTTCTTCATACAATCAAAGGCTGCTGGCCAGACTATTACGTCACTTACTTTCGATGCCTTCTTTTGTGAATCCACGACCTGAACTGGAGAACAAAATCTGTAGAGAGATAGACAACTGTCTAAGGCATTGAAAAGCCCTGGGTCACATACTTGTTCTATGGGTACGCAGTACATCTATTCAATTATATAATTTCTTATTAGTTTCTGCTGGGTAAGATCGAATATATTTTATGTTCCTGGAAATCAGTATTCATATCCGTTAGGTTTGTCCAACATCCAACAATAATTTTCAATTGAATGATAAAAACAAACCTTCCTTAGAAAACACCTGACTCTGCTCGCTGAACAAGATTTCTGCTCGGTCTTCGACGCCCACTCTCTCCAAAAGTACAGAGCAATCGCAGATACCCCGTCATATTTTTTCTCTCAGTTAATCCCGATTTGCCAAACTTATCCTCATTTGGCCTATGGCCCCGCCTCAGTAAGACAGTTGCTAATTTTGTTTGTTTTTCTCAGCTAAACTAGCCTACACATGACTAATCTTTTCGATAAGGCGTTCAAATTTCTGAATCAAAAATGAATCTGTCTATTCTCGAAGCTAGAAATACTAGAATACATAGCCTTTTTTGCTAGGTATTACAATACAGTTTTTAGTTTGTGTGTATTTTTTTCGTAAATTGCACCACTGTTTTTAAACAAGACTTTGGGCAATCTATATGATACTCCTTAGGTCTAACAATCCTCAATCATTGTAGTCATACGTACATCCCAAGAATAGAACCTTCAGTATTCCAGGTAGGATGAAATATGATGACTTCACTATTGATTCTCCAGATGAAATTGTAAATAGTTTTGCAAATTTTTTTCGCAGTACACATTCACACTGCAGTTGATGTAAATACTTTGCATCCATGCTCATCAAATTCAAATTGTTTTTATAATAATATAAACTTTGAAAACATCAGCGAACAGGAAATCTTCATTGCAGCACGTAAACTAAAAAATGAGTTCACTTCTGGTCCTTATAAGATACCATCCTTTTGTGTAAAAGATTGCATCGGTATATTGGTCGTTCCCTCACTGACACTTTTCAATCTTGCAGTTAAAAATAATAATGTTCGTGAATTATGGAAGATATCACGAGTTTGTCCCATTTTTAAGGCTGGAGATACATCTGATATTCAGAATTATCGTCCTATCTCAATCCTATCGATCTTTGCTAAACTTCTCGAAATTGTCATCTACAATCGCCTACATTCCTCAGTTCGTAATATCATATCTCCGCAACGACATGGATTTATGTCAAACAAATCCACCATAACAAATTGAATTGTATTGACCCAAAATATTAGTGATGTCTTAGATAATCGTGGTCAAGTTGATGTGATATGTACTGATTTTGCTAAAGCATTTGCTGATCGACTTGATCACATGATCCTTCTACAAAAATTCCACCAATTTGGTTTCCATAATTCCGCAGTACTTTCCATTAAATCCTACTCACTTCAACGCGAACATTTTGTATCTTTTAACGGCTATGATTCTTTTTATTACAATCCTTCATCTGGAGTACCTCAGGAGTCGAATCTCGGACCACTTCTGTTCTTATTATTTATTAATAACCTCAGTAGTTATGTCGATTGTAATAAGTTATTTTTTGCAGATGATTTGAAAATATATTTACCTGTCGCAACTAACGAAGACTGTAATACATTGCAACGACAGTTAGAAAATATAGAGACTTGGTGTGTAGTTAACAAACTGTATCTCAATATATCCTAATGTAAAGTAGTGTCATATAGTAGGAAAATCTCAGTCATCGAGTACAATTATTGAGTAGATACCATTTCACTGTCACAAAGTGATTCAATTGAAGATCTTGGTGTGTATTTTGATCAAACTTTGTCTTTTTACAACCACATTAGTCCGAAAGTAAGTTTAGCATTGAGAGTTTATGGCTTCATAGTTCGCAATTGTAGATCTTTTTCAAACATATCTGCTCTATTTATTCTTTATGTAGCCTACGTAAAGTCAAAATTAGAATATGGCTCTCTTCTATGGTCTCCATTCTACAATTGCTATAATTCATTAATTAAAAAAGTTCAACGTCGTTTCCTAAAGTTTATTTTTTTCAAATCGTGTGGTATCTATCCTGATAGAGGTATTCCATATGAATCTCTTACCATAACATTCAATAATGAAAGTCTTGAGTTACGCAGAAAACTTGTTGGAATAATTTTTATGTATAAATTACTGCAGAATAATGTGGATGCTATGGATGTGTTATCTTTTATAAATTTATGTGTGCCTCATTTTAGAACTAGCAGTACAAAAACTTTTTACAGCCGAACAAAACATGACGTCACTCTAAATACAATATGGCGGACTAGTTTCTTATGCAGTCTCATGACATGGATATCATATGAAAGAGTTTGACATAAGTAATTCTAGAGAAATATGATTTTTCATAAAATAAGTCACAAACTTTTATATTATGCGTATTCAATTGAAGGGTTTGATTTTATCTGAATATTACTGGAGTTTTTTCCCAACACCAAATCGTTATTTTTACACCTCGACACGTGTTTCGATCACCAAGTTATCATCTTCAAGAGGAAGATAAAACTAGAAACTACTCAAAACTAAAGCTATTTATGCTATTGAGGTACATCATACAGGTAGGTAATCAGTAATACCACCCATACAAGTGTACCACCTTAAATTAATTTTACAATTGGCCTTTCTATTATTTTACAATATGTCCTTATGTATGTTTGAAGTTACAGCTATATATAGAACACTTTTCAGCTATATAAAATTAGTTTCACAATATTGCCTATCTAAATATATTTACAATGTGTCTTTTTGTAGTAATCAGTAAACCCAACAATATCATTTCAACAAGCTATATAGTATGCTCTTTGGTATTGTCCGTTATCGTTACTCATAAATTATTATGTTTACTTATTTCCGCACTCTCATAGGCATCTAGTTGCCTGTTGTTGTTAACTTGTCTAACTAATATTAAAGAACTGAAGTCTATGGAATGGTTTTATTGCAAAATATGATGGGCGACTGCTGATTTTTCAGGTCTTCCATATTTTAAGTGTGCTATGTGTTCCTTATATCTCACTTTAATAGATCTTTTTGTCTGTCCATAATATTTTGCATCGCAGTCCTTACATTCAATTTCGTAAATTCCAGACTTTTCCGAATTCTCGACTTCGTTTTTTGGACTTCCCAAAAGGCTCTGCAGTGTATGACTTGTTTTAAAAACAACCTTCATACCTAGTTCCTTGAAAATCTTTCCAAAGTTCTTCTTATATTGGTGGTATAGAACTGAGATGTATTTATCTTGGTTTTTGTCCTTTCTGAAAGTCGATATTTCGTTCATTCTTAACCTAAACTTATTTTTCACAATTATGTCATCTACAATACCCCTCGGGAAACCGTTAGTGGCTGCTATTTCCTGTATTGTACCTTTTTCTTTCGTGAACCTATCATGTGTTAGAGGAAAAGTCAAAAGACGATGCACCAAAAAATTCAACCCAGCACGTTTGTGCTGTCCACAGTGATGTGAACTGTCAGGAATATATCTGTACGTGCTTGTTTCTTTTCTAAATATATCGTATTCTAACCCTCCATCTTTGCTCCTCATCACCAAAACGTCAAGAAATGGTAGTTGTCCCTCATATTCTAATTCATACGTAAATTTTATTGATGGACATCTATTATTTAAAAAGAAAACAAAGTCCTCGATATACGATTTTTTGATATCGAATACCGCGAAAATATCATCCACATACCTTAGCCAAATCCTAGGAAAATACTTTGACTTTTCTTTAGTTTCCATTTCGAATCTGCTCATGAACAGGTCTGCCAGGTAGGTTGACAAGGGATTTCCCATGGCCGTTCCTTCCTGTTGTTCATAAAAGCAACCTTCTACCTGGAAACGATTTTGTTTCATACACAAATTGGTAAGAGAAACGAATTCATCGATTTCGTTGTTATTGAAATTATTTTTCTCTAGTAATTCCCTGAGGTATCGCAAGGTCTGTGGAATTGGGACGCTAGGAAATAATGAACTAACATCAAAAGAAACCAAAAACTCACATTCTTGCAGAACCATCTGAAGACGATTTCCTTCTTTTCAGAGCTGGAAAATAAAAGCTTGTTTGTTCCCATCAGTAAAATTTTATTCAATCAACGCAATAGTCATACTAATTTTTTTTAAATCGTTCACCTTCGTTTCTCAAACTACATTCATTCATTTTCCTTTCAGGGTTTGAGTTTGAGTGGTTGCGAATTAGAACCGTCAAACAACAAATTTTTGAAGATTATACTGGAAACCCATCCACATTTAGCAGAGAAACTCGTGGTGGGGAGCGACACAGACGGATCTGTAGCTGCGATATCAAATAATGGAGGTCTAACTTGTATAGCAGGAACAGGCTCGAATACTTTGTTGGTCAATCCAGATGGTACCAGGGCCCAATGCGGAGGGTGGGGGAATTTACTGGCGGATGAAGGCAGCGGTATGTTTGTGTGTGGTATGTGCGTTGACTGCTAGGACGAAGGTTATAAGTCGAAATCAACGCACATAACACTGATTAATATAGAGGTTGTAGAAAATATAAAGATCTACAGTTTCTACTACCTTTTCCGTTTCTACTTTTTCAGTAAGCCCTAGTTTATAATAATGCAAGTTAAGGTGAAGTAAGGTAATGTAGAGAGGTAAGGTAAGGTATCCATTCTTTGACCTTCACGAAAAAGTAAAGTATGAAGAATTGCCATAGTGATTATAGGTTTTGGTAACTTTTGTGTTGGCAGCAATGCATAAACAAATATTGACATTCCACTTCCATAATCCTGACAGCAGCAATCATTCATATGAAATAAATAATAACTTTCATTGCTATAAAATTACGGAAGACACATATTTTATATCATTAATAGAACAATACCCAATAATTTATTATAAAAAAGATAAAATTTTAAAATAAATTAATGAAGAAGAAGGCATGGCAGGTGATTGCCAAAATAGAGGAGCAATGTCAAAAGCGATATAAAGTTTTAAGAGACAGATATACCAAAGAAAAATAAGATGTGGCTCAGTGTGGAAAGTCAGGTACCGAAGCAAGTGATAGGAGAGAATAAATAGCCTTCATTCAGGGCAATGTAATTTTGGATGACCACATACAACCCAGAAAAATGTATATGTATATTGAATACTGATCAGAATTGTAATTTTGAAGTTTATTTTTCTTGTAGAACCGAAAGTAAAGTAACCAATACAGGCAGTAGTTCGTAGATAGGATGCATTGAGTAGCAGAAGTGTAATTAAAAACAACGAAACCACTCGGGGTCGACTCCCCATTATTGTTGATTCCCATACTAGTGAAGCACAAAAAAATGAAGGCTCTCGGTTAGAAGTTGAAGTGATAGAAAATTTCGAAGGTGTAAAACCACACAAATCTTTCAAAAACACTTATTCAAATATTAAAAAAAAATAGGAAGAAGATATTGTAAATAAAATTACTACCCAGCCAAATAAACAAACAGATTCAGACCTAGCCTTTGGGTATTATGTAGGCTAAGCTTTGAAAGACGTTAACAAACAGAAAAATGAAGGCGAAACTGAAAACAAAAATTACACAACTCACTGTTGGTTTTCAACAAATACTTTTTGTTACAAGTTTTCTATGACACGCAATTTTTGGTTTCTTATGCTGTTTTATCTTTTTCCTTGATATGGAATGTTTCAAGTTTTGGTGATAGATAGATTTTAAGTTTTCCTGATAAAGATAATGTTTGAAATTTTTATATGAATTTTAAGTTTTTTCTTGTTTTTTTTTTGTGATAGGTACTGCAGTTTTGTTTTGATTATTTTGTGACAATAAGAATTTGAGTTCCTCATGTATTATTGCCACCAATACTTTTTGTTCATGAGAATGTAAAAAAAAACATTTGGGAGAATAAATTTTTTTTTGAAGATCAAAGTAAAATGGTCTCTCGACAAAGTAATGGAAATATCACTTGAAAATGAATTATAACTAAAAGATTATAGCTCAATTGAAACTGAAAAGTTTCGACTCGGCTTCAGTCGTTGATGGTTTAAGATATATTGGAGCTAAAATTTTTCACAGAACACCGCAAATTTCCTTAATAATTCTATGGATTGTGATTTTTCCCAAATGGTATGCACACGCTACCGACTGTTGAGAAGTTTCTTGCGATAAATAGCTGATTTTTTTTTGTTAGATATTTACAATTTCAACAATTCACTTTACTGGAGTGTTAAAGCCAATTTCTCTTCTGGAGATATCGATCCATATATTTGATTGGATAGCCTACAAACCTTCTCTATGAAAAATTATTTATACACGTCAAGTTTCATCACGATCGGTTGAGCAATGTAAAAGTTTATCACTTACCAACCAACCAACAAACATCCATTTTTATAGATTTTATAGATTTGCATAGAGTTATCGACGCTGTTTCGAATCATCTTCCAAAATGAATGCACATATCGATTATTCAAACGAAGTTCTTATGAAATTATTCATTATACACATGAACAAAGTAATCAAATCATTGTCAGAACGTGTAAAAAATTCAACCAAACGTATCCTGAATTAACACCTATGAACGAGAGGAAGTTTGTAAGATTACAAAATAATTTCCTTAACTATGGCTCAAAGTTTTCAGGGAACAACTGTACCAAAAATCAGTCATTTCTAGGTAAAAAGTAAGATTTTGTGGGCTAAAACATGTGAAAGTACAGACAATAACAGAATAGTATGATTCAAATTAACAAAATTGTAAACAAAATATCACATTTTCACAATAAATGCTGAAAATGTTGTCCATTACATTCTGAACACTTCAAAATGTTTTTTGTACGCGACTTGTGGTTGCTTTTTCAATTTCCTGGGGATCCAGATCTTCAATTCTCCGCACTATTCGCCGTCGCAATTCTTCTTTGGTAGGCACTGGAGTACACATACCCTTTCTTTTAAAACACCCCATAAAAAAAGTCAAGTGGCGTGAGATCGGGTGATCTCGGTTGCCAATCCCACGGCCCTAAACGCCTAAACCAACGATCGTCGAAGAGTTCGTCAAGTTTCCTGGAAACTTCCTGGGTGGAATAAGCTGGCGCTCCATCCAGTTGAAATTTTCAAGAAAATCGGTTACAGTCGTCCTTAATATTTGGAGATATCTCTCTACATTCAGTGTGTCTTCATAAATAAAAAAGCTAATTTTAGTGTTTTTCAGAATACAGAAAACATTCAGGTCAAATTTTTCTTGAAAACCCATTTCTTTTGTAACATGAGGATTATGATCAGCCCAAAAATGTTTATTCCTTCTATTGAAAATACCATCCCTCGTAAATTTCGATTCGTCGCTCCAAATTATTTTTGACAAAAATTCCTGATCTGCTTTTAGAGCTTGAACTTTGGTAAATTTATATGGATGCATTCCGTGATTATTCAAAATTCGTTGTACTGAAGCATGTGATACACCTAAATCTTTTTCTGCACTGCGAATGGAAGCTTCTGGACATGTATAAAAATTTACCAAAACGTTAACAGTATTGTCCTCCTTTGAAGTAACAGGTTTTGGTAATGTTGAAGACGCCTTTAACATGGAGCCATAGTTAAGGAAATCATGTTGTAATCTTACCTGCAGCACCACATCATCTGAAGATCTTGATCCAACAATGTCCTCTCTCTCATAAAACAAAACGTAGGGTGTCTCCAGAGGCTCCAATAAATTCAATGCATCGCCAGAACACTTCGTGACACGACTATCGTCAAACTTAAACCAGTCCGTTTCTTCTTTGACCAAGGCGTAATAATGACCACGTTCAACGCCAGAACCACAGTGAACAATGACTGCATGAATATTATAACAGTGGTCTGCTAGGTTGAAATGTTCATCTATTTCGAACCTTCCAAAGAGTTTCTTGCTTCCGTTAGAGGTTGAGTCTTGTTTGAATATCATCAGTGTTATTTTTTTTTTCATTTCATAATTTCGAAGAATATTTCAATGATATACTAATTATGAATATTTTTCTTTCAGCTTGGCATATGTCTTACAGAGCCGTAAAATATTGTTTTGACGATATCGACAACTTCGAAAAAGCCCCCTACCCCATCGATAGGGTGTGGGAACTGGTGAAATCCCACTTCAAAATCGAAAAGCAAGCAGATATCCTCGACTCTTTCTACAACAAATTCGACAAGTCATTTATAGCGTCCATGACAAAAAGCCTATCTGAACTAGCTAGAGATGGGGATAAACTGTCGCAGGAAATATTCAGAGAAGCAGGTACCCACCTTGCCAAAAGTATATCCGCGGTGGTTCCAAAAGCCTCCCCAGAACTCACGCAGCAAGAGGGTGGAATCCACGTTATTTGCGTGGGATCGGTATGGCTCAGCTGGGACCTGCTCAAGCTCGGATTCATAGATTGTTTGAGAAAGAATAGGTCCGTTACGAAAATGACGCTGGTGAGACTGAAAACCGAAATGGGGGTTGGGGCAGCGTTCATGGCTGCAGATAAGTTGAACTTACCTTTGGCGAGGGATTATTCCAAAAATTATAAAGCTTTTTTCATTTATGTCAATGCTAGCTGTAATGGGAGTTAGTGAATGTTGGCTGTCATCATCATTTTATTGAGATTGAGTTGGATATGTATTATTATTAGGTTATATTTTCTAGAAGAGCTACTGAATTATCTAAACTGATGGTCAAAGAAACTGGCACAATGTAGTACTCTGATTGGATTTGGTTTCTTCATATTCTCATTCCATAGAATGATTCATTGAGATTATCATAGAATGAGAAGTTTCAAGGAATTGGCCGGACCTATCTGCTTGCTCCATTTCTTCCATTTAATAAGTGATAGGATTCGTATCAGGGCTTTTGATTTCTGATAGGGCTGTGACTCAAAAACCAAGCAGTAACAGCTCGATGGTGAAATTCATCTCACTCAAGGGGTTTATAAAATATCATGATTATGCCACATCACCGATGAAATGAGGCACCTGAAGCCCTCCAAATTATTTAATACCAACGAGTTATTTGAATGAATATCTGAAAAAAACTATTATGTCCATGGAAACCTTGCGTTAAAATATTCAATAAAAAGCGAAGTTTCAGTGGCGCCAGTTTTTTGACCCTCAGTTATGTATCACTGATTTTTTATGAGTAACTGTTGATGTGTGTTTTAGATGTATAATGTCATTCCTCACTATTGAGGTCATATATTTTTTGAGAGAATAAATTATATATTATACAAGTTAATATACCAACAAGGGATTTTTTTCTGGGATTAGGGTGACATGAAATAATACAGTAGATTGCGGAAAAAATGGAATCAATAGACTTTCTGCATCCATATCCTCATCTTATTGATCTTATTAGATCCGGCCCCAGTAACAAGCCCCAATATGAGAGAAACGGCAACACTGTTGGAGGTCCTGTTTCGAAAGTGAAGTTAATATAAATGGGAAAGTAAATATGAGTTTGATAGAGATCCAAAAGTATTGTTATAATTAGAGAAATGAATAAAGCTAAATCAAAGAATTTACTGAATTGTAACAATTTTGCCGTGTAAAGTTACTGCATAATATTAACCAATTCATAAATTCTGCCTACAAATTGAAGGATCGCTGGAAATTATCTATACTAAGCTTTCTTTAGGTGGTTAACGTTTTCGAACAATATACTTTTCCCTTCTCAAAACCCAATGAATTCATTTGTGAAGCCGGCCTTAATCCGAACCAGGGATATTTTCTTGGAAAAACGACATTCTTTCGACGTTTGTTGAGTCAGCTGTGTATTAGATGGTAATGCCGTCTTGTTTGAGACATTAAGTTCAATCACATATATAATTATATTCTTCAACATACACAATTTTAAGACAACGATAAAAATAAAATAAATACAACAATAAAAATTAATTGGCGCTCCGGGGCGACTTCATTGATTCCAGTGGCGCATTTGCTTTTTCAGCTGCAGGAAAACCCGGAAAAACCTACAGCACCACATCATCTGAAGATCTTGATCTTCATTTTATATCATTCTCAAGCTTCTTTCATAATTTGAGTATATTGAGTATATCGCCTAAATTTTCTTAGCTCCTTATCACCTATTATCATCTATAGCTCAAAAAATAATTGTGATAGTTGAAGAAAGGCATTTGCCAGGAAAGTATTTGTTTTCTGCAGAAATTTGTCACATCCTACTTTTCAAAATTTTAATTTTGTTGTCTTGTATATCTCTTTTTAATACATTCATCAGACTTCTTATATTCTCTTTTGGAAGGAACTTTCTCTGACTGACTTGACACTGTGGTCTCGATTGATCATATCTCAATGAAAAATTGTAAAATTTGTGAGCTAAGAGTTATTTTTCAATCTCGTTACACAAATAAGTATCGCCGGTATTGTTAGGTGAATTATGGCCTTAAAAAACAACACATTTTTCATAAAAAACTGTAATAGTTCTTTACCTCAAAGCTACGAATGTCTACATCAACCAAATGATGGTTTTCTAAAAATATGTACAGATTGATTAATTTAGCTATTAGCGTTAATGAACATATGAAGCTCCACACGTTTAATAAGTCATTCAAATAGATCACGAATAGCACCGGCCCCAGTACTGTCCCTTGAGGTACACCACATGTTATTTCCATTTCTGCACTGATTTGGCTTTCAATTCTCACTTTTTGTTTTCAATTTGTTAAGTAGCTTTATAGTAATTTGGGTGCAGTACCTCTTACACCCATATTTTCTAAGGTATTTGGAAGTATGGTGTGGTCGACCGTATCGAATACCTTCGAGATTTTTGACTTTTGACCTCGAATAAATTCTTTTTCCAGCCATCGCAATCACTCGGAATTTCAAAATCTCATCTTCAACTATGTTTTGAACAATTACACGCATTTGCAGCTTGTTGAAAATTAATGTACCATCACTCTTATTTTTTAGTCTAATTTGACCGGACTAATAAGCAATGGGCAATTTGCATTTAGTCCGTGTGGTATTGCTGGCTGCATACAGTATTGACAAAGAAACTACGTTTGAAGTGGATCGGGAGCATTCCACTGGATGGAGTATAAAAACACCATCTACATTTTTCTGTAATATCGATTATTTTATGCGAAATAAAACTCAGGTTTGTAGTGGGAAACAAGTCGTTGCAATCGACACTTTTCCAATTATTACACTTCGTAGCAGCTAAAGTTATTTTGAACTTCTTTGAGAATAATACAGAAATATAAGATGAATTATATTTCCTATGGAAATATAATTGTAATCGTTGAAGAAGGGTATTGGCAAAGAGAGTCGTTGTTTTCTGCGGACGTTTGCCATATCCTAACTGTTCAAAATATTTATTTTTTGTCTTATATATGTCTTCTGGAAACAATCATCAGACTCCTTATATTCTCATTTAGAAGGAACTTTCTCTGACTGACTAGACGCTATGGTCTCGATTGATCATAAGTCAATAAATAATTGTGAAATTTAAGAGCAAAGGGTAATTTTGCAATATCCTAAAATTAATAACACAAATAACTATTATGGTCTATGAGTAAAAAACAACATAGTTTTCATCATAAACTATAATAGTTTCTACCTCAAAGCTATAAATGTCTTCCTCAACCGAAAATAATTTCCTTAGAAACATCGACAGTTTCATTGATTCATTTATTAGCGTTGATGAACATATTATAAAGCTCTACACGTTTCAGTTTACTAGAGGGAGTTCTTGGCAACTGATCAACAAATTTAATTCCTCCTTCAAGTCTGTGATAACCAGTCATTCTACCTATAAAAAATTCTTCAATTTCTTCAGCTGTAGCAGCTGTATTTTTCTTCAACACAATACAGGCTGCAGGATAAAGGTCGCCATTTTCTTGAGGTAATCCGAATACAGCGACTTCTTCGATGGCAGGATGTTCTTGAAGTATTACCTCCCACTGACTTGGTACCACCTTGATACTTCCATTTTTGAAGATCTCGTTGCATCTTCCGGTAATGAAAAGGCATTCGTTTTCATCGTAGTAGCCTGTGTCGCCTGTTTTGAGAAAACCCTCTGAATCGAACGGAGAGGAAGATTCCAAATTGTAGTACCCAGTGGTGGCGTAAGGCGAACGTACCCAAATTTCACCTTCCTCATTGGGTCCAAGCTCGTGTTTCATTTCTTGATCGATGATCTAGGGATTGAATAATAGATCAATTGAATTGATAATTAATAAATATTAAAATTATAATATAGGCGATACGTATTAACATAAAAATTTCCGTTGATATAGAACCTAGAAGAAGGAGTAATGTGAACATTCAGATAACATCACTTTAGCTCAAACAAATCCGGTTCGATTCATCTTCATATTAATAAGGTTGGAGCGTGCGTCACTCCCTCATCGTTTCAACTGAGTATTCGTCAGGGGGAAGAATGGTTCACAACTCAAAGTGTTGATTCGCGATATAGAATGTTCTCGGCCTCCGTGCCGCCCTGGCCCGATGCACCCCTTCCTGAATGGGGTGTTTGATGAAAAAACTATTCATCTTTTACGGGGGGCTTTACTCATCTGAATGACGGGGCCTTCTGAAGCGGGAGGGATCGTCTACCTTCAGCGTAATCTACAGCTTCCCTGACTAACGGGTTTTTATAGTTTCAGCAGACTCTAAAACTCTCTCGCTTCCTTGACTGAATGAACTTTTATATGAAAGGCAGCTTCAAATCTCTGCGGATGTCTTCGTTCCTCATGAAACTACCATCCTGGGGATTAGACAGTGCTTCAGGCGCACTGTGGGTCCTGAAACTCATTTGTCATCTTCATTTTCTTCAGGTTGGAAATTTTTCCCTTACCCTTTCAACTGTTTTTCGTCAGGAGGACGAGTGGTTGATAACTGAAGGTGTTTTTTGGTTGATAACGACATGAAGATCAATGACCTCTATGCCGCTCTGGCCTTATGTACCCCTTTCTGACTGGGGTAATTGATGAACAAACTGTTCATTTTAACAGACGTCGTGGGGCCTACACTCAACCGAGCGACGGGGCCTTCTGAATCGAGTGGGGTCGTCTATACTGTAATTTACAGCTTCCCTAACTAATGGGTTATCATGAGTTTCCGCTCACTAGAAAACTCTCTGATTCCTCGACTGAATGGACTGCCGTATACTTAACAGCTTCAAATCTCTGCGAATGGCTTCATTCCGCACGAACCATGGAGCATTCACTAGCATCCTTATCAGTTTGTTTTGCAACATTTCCAAAATGGAGAGGTTTGACGGAACGGTTTGTCCCCAAGCGCCTGAAGCATACATAATGACAGGCTTGAACATCGTATTGTATAATAAAATCTTATTTTTAAGATTGAGCTTAGAATTTCTGTTGATCAGAGGATAGAGTTTGACTATCCTCATTTGTACTTTACTCTTGACATAATCGATGTGATTTACCCAGGTGAGTCGGTGGCCTACCCAACGACGTAGGTATTTGACTCGCGTTTGCCATTCGATTTCCCTGTCTGAAATCGTGACTCTTGTGCCTGGAAAGACGTTACGTCTCCCCAAATCTATCGCCTGAGTTTTTTCTGGATTCACCCGAATCTTCCATTCCAGGTACCAGCGTTCGAGGTCGTCCAATGCGCGTTGCATGAAGACGACCGCCAACTCTCAACCCATGGAAGAAGCGAGGAAAGCCGTATCATCGGCGTAAAGAGAAACCTTCACTTGATCGAACATCGGAAAGTCGCTCACGTAAAGGCTGTACAATAGTGGAGACAGCACAGCTCCTTGAGTCACTCCAGCTTGGAATTCCCTGACGGGAGACAGGGTTCCTTCAACTCGGACCTGAAATGTTCTACCTTTCAGAAAGGACCTGATCCACCGGGTCATTCCCCGAGGCAGGTCGAAATCGAGCATTTTGTGTAGTAGACCTTCATGCCATACTCCGTCAAAGGCTTTCGAAATGTCCAGGAGGACGGGATGGACTGTCTTCCTATTGCTTAGCTCTGAGATGGAATTTTCGACCAGTCAGGGCCTACAGCTCAGTGGAGTGTGTCCTTCTGAAGCCGAATTGTTCGTCAGGCAGAACATTTCGGTCTTCAACTTCTTCGGTCAACCTTTGCAGAACAACACGTTAAGCCAACTTAGGCGTTGAGCAAAGCAGACTAATCGGTCGATGATTCTGGGGAAACAGCGGGTTCTGGCCCTGTTTCGGAATCATGAAGACTACGGCATGCTTCCATCTTCGGGGGAAGTATCTGAGGGCGATTGAACTGTCGATTATGTCCAGTAGGTATCTGATGAAGTTCTCCGGGAGCTGCTTCAACAACCTATTGTTGATTGAATCAATTTCCAGAGCCTTCTTGGGTTTGGAGGCCCTAATGTACCTCCTCAGTTCTTCCTCCGAAGCTGGACGGATCACGTCGTCATTATTTTCCCTAAGGATGCGCCGAACCCGCTGTTCCAGCCGGATATCACGGTCAATATCATCAACCGGATCAAAGTTGAGTTGGAACTGACTGTCCATTGTGGCTGCAAAGGCCAACGCCTTGTCGGCGGGGGAGTAACAGATGCCGCGCTGTACGTGAAGTGGGGTGACTCGCCATAGCTCATCATCCCTAGGTTCGAGAGATTGCAAACACTCGCTCCGCCTCTGGTTTCTGTAGTCAGTGATGGCCTGTTTAACTTGGTTGGTCATCCTGCTAGCCGCAGCCTTGTCTCCAGGCTAGAGAGTCCGCTGATAAAATCGTCTGAGTCGATTTCTCTTCCGGATAAGGTTCTTTATCCTGGGAAAAAACTCATTGTAGCTTCGCAAAGGACAATCTGTCCTGGTTGTGGCTGCGCGGAAAGCGTTGTTCAAAGACAATTCGAAATCCGCCACTGCCGCGTCGAGACTGTTGCGAGTTCGAAGCGCCTCACGGTCCATACGGTCCTGAAGCTATAGTCTAGTCTCGTATTTATGTTCCTGGCGGACCAATAGTGGAAGCGTAGAAGGGATTGATTCTGGGACGGAGGTTGACTTGCAGAAAAGTCGTGTGTAATGTTCTGAGATGTTTGGCGGAATAGTAATGAATTTCATGAATACGGTAATCTTTGTTATTCATCTCATTTGTTGCTTCGCGTATTATCCTGGTCTGGAGATATTTCCGGTATCGATGATTATGGTGTTTTCGAAGCTTATTATGTGGCATGTTTTCAAGATGCTGTTTAAAGGGGGATGAGGGTGGATATGATTAACGGTCACCGAGCTCATGCTCATAGGCTCTGTTAGATTTATGGAGGAGGTGCAACATAATATTTCATATAAACTCTGTTGAACATTATATTGTTGGCTGTGAATACTGGTCTCATGCTGTATTTTGTATATGCTTCATTCCTTATTGGGTATCGTGACATTGGGTTTGTAAAAAAATTATAAATTGTATTTTTGGCTATGAATACTGGATTGATGCCATGTCTCCTTGGTTCTCTCCAACGGTAACTCAATAAATATAAGAAATAAATACTTTCGGTTAGTCCATCATCAGGCAGTTTGCTGAAGTTTGATTCATGAATTTGGGAGTCGAAATATTTGTTGGGAGGGAGTTCTTCTAGTAATTTGGATCTATTGCAGTTATCAGTGAGTCTCATAGATCTGTGTATGGAAGAACTCCAAATGGATTTTAACTGAAGAAGATGACGAAGGGGCTAAGCATTGATGTAGCGGATGATATGAGCTTGTTTTCAGCAGAGGAAATTGTTGGATTTTGTTAGTAGATAGTCGAGCAATGAAACTGATTTGTTAGTTTCAACTTCAGTGGTGTACTTGGTTTACAAGAAGATATCTCTCTTGAAACGATAAATTTCTTTTTGTCAGCAAGAATGTTAGAATTTTTGGCATTGTTTGATATTGGCTCAAGCAGTATTTCGTGAACATTATGGCATGCCTGAAAAAGAAGAAGAAAAATCTCTCACCTTGATTTCTATATCATTTGTACATCTTCCAACGGAAAGCAGCTCGCTCAATAGATGTTTGTCTTTTGATAAATCGAAGGCAGCAATAGGTCCCACTTCTGAACTTCCGTATGAATTACTGACAATTGAGTGTTTGAACAGCTGCCTCAATCCGATCAGACAATCAGGCGTAATGGTGGCCCCTCCAGTTAGAAAATGGTGAAGTGAAGATGTGTCGTATTTTTCGAAATCTTTCACTTTCAAGAACTCCTTGGCGGCTTTGGGTGGAAGTAAACAATGCGTCACCTATGAAAAGAATGAGCTAGTCACTAGTCATGGAGCTATTTAGAAGAAAAAAAAATATATGAAACAATCTACCTCTTATACCACCATTGCCCAAAGAAACCGATTTCTCTAGAAAATAATTTGATTGAATTTAGTTTGGTTCGAATTGAGGTGAGGCGGAGTAGAAATGGAGCAAGTATATAGGTAATCATGAATTTTGATCTTGTAATATATAACTGAGTTCACAACTGAACGCTCAGACTCATTAGTCAGGAATCTCCAACGTCACTAACTTATATGGAAGGTTCCAATGATGACTTTTCAACTGGCTGCTGAGCTGACGGTCGGCAAGTCTATGTCCTATTTTGAACTCAACTTTTGCGTTAGTACGCAATTTTTTCATAAGAATATCGTTATGACGAAGCAGGTGCATCAGACTCAAAAAGTCTTTTCATTTATATTGCTGATACTCTCCAAGATTATCGAAAACACAACTCTTCAATTGAAACCAAGGAATCCAGAAGAATACTAACCTGGCTTCAACTGCTGACTTTTGGGGTTTTGTTGAAGTTGAAATTTGCAAAACATTCCTCGCGATTACACCTCATCTTAATAATTTTTTCTGGATGAGAGACATTTCCAGGAATTTATACAAACGACTCACAATAGCTATGAAATCAAGCACACCTCCATATCAACAAAATAACTTTTCTAGGGGATGATAATTAAGGTAGAAGATCCAAATCAAGACCTGATCCTAAATTCCGACACATTTCTGTATACAGAGTGTTCCAACGAAAAGTATGCACATTGCTTTTCTCCTTTTTTTGTAACTTAACGCAAAAATGCTCGGACAGGTCAATTTTGCTTTTGAGGGGGACACATTTTATAGATGTATTTTTCTACCTGTGCCTTCAACCACCTAGCGAGGGTGAGTAAAGTCTATAATTTCAAAAAGAAAGTGGGATTGAATGATATATCATTTGAAAGGGCACAAAATTCCCTTTATAATGATACCTAATTTGTTTTATTTACTCGAAGAAGTTGGTTCCAAGGAAGAACCTGATGAATCAAATATACTGGAAAAGGAGGAAAGCATTGACGAAATAGTTGAAAAAGAAAATGGTGAAGGCGAACAATCAAGAAAGAACTTAGTCAATGAAGCAGACGTTGGGGATAGTCGCAGTAATACTGAACATTATCGAGTACCTCCAGTAGTAATTATACCATCTCCATTCAAAAACTCTTTCTTCTAGCCTGAACCAATTGAAAAAAGTGAACAAGAAGAACACTAGAGTTAAAGTTCCTTCTGTAAGCAGCGTGGAGAGAATATTTCTTGAAGAAAGAGGATGAGCAGAATAAATAAATTCAAGAAAAAGAGGTTAGGAAGATAAAAATGGAAGAAAACAAAAAATTGCGCCAAAAAATGAAGGAAAAATGAAGAAAAGAGGTCAGATAGTGAAGAAGACTTATCTCAGGGTCACCAAGAAATGGGAAATTACCGAATTACCAACGAAGGTGAAAAATAATTTTCATAGAGTACCTACGTAAGTAGCATAGTTTTATTATATAAGAACTATTGTAGGTAATGGAGAAGCGGGACCCTCAATAGACGATTTAATGAAAATTGGCGATTTTGTAATTGTCAACTATTTTGAGGACTATTATCTGGCACAAATCACAAATAAAGACACTGGCTAATACAATGGCTAAGGCAGGTAGATGGTGGAAGTGGCCAAATACCAAAGATGAAATTTGGTACGATCATCATGAAATTGTCAAGCAGATTAAGCCTTCAGTTGAAATTACTGAAAGAGGATTTTATGCAGTTGAAGAAATAAAGTTCCATATATGATGTCAGAATTCGTTTGTGTTATTTTCGCATTGAACTCCCAATGATGGGGAGTTCTCGTTTTCTTTCGGAATAATGTTTCTCAAATGTCTAATATAGGGTCACCGTCTGAATTAGTTTCACTGACGTGTCTGATTTTGAAAGAAACGTTTCTCCTACTGTCGGAATCAGGTTTTATTGGGGTGGTTATAATAAAGTGTGAGTGAAATTATTGTAGACAGAGTTTTATCATAAATAACTGTTCAGATATCCTTAAAAATGATTATTGAATCAGGAATATTGAAACTGATCAACATCACCAAACAAGCACTAATTATATTGGATAAAATGTAACGTCAACTCATAAAGGTATCTGAATTTGGGTCGTCTACCGTATGATGGTATGTAAGAAGCAGATGCTTCAATTTCTCTCTCGTGTAGCTTTCAGTCTAGATGAAACATTAACTGTTTTTCAACTCATTTTTCTTTACCTTGAATTTCTCCATCATTTCTAATGCTTTTTCTGGATGGAATCGGTTGGACGTGATCCTGCAACCTCCAGATTGAAAAGCTCTGATGAATGAAAAAAGACTCGTTATCCAGTAGAAAGTTGAATATACGAGTACCATTCCCGGATCATACATGTCCATTCGTCTGAAATTTATAACTATAGTTCAGAATGTGCAGTTTCCAACGACATGTTCATGGGAATCCTATCAAATGGTTTGCTTTCAAACTTTATATATCATTTAATTTTGGAATTCTCAGATAACTACGCGTTTTTGTGTGACACCAACTGCTAACTGATAGTTGCTGATTTCAAAATATGTTGTGAATCGGATTGTATGTCGGCCTTCTCCGAGTGCTCAAGTGACAATAATATTTAAGTATATGCACTACTAGTTGTTGCCCGCGGCTTCGCCCGCGTAGAATTTGGTAGTTGTAGTACTAATTAGTACTATGTTGCTATATCGCTGCTGTTCCAATGTTTTAACAGAATCAGAATCAACGAACTTAGGCTTGCGCAGCGTTATAGAACAGTGCTTTCAAAAAAATTGTTCTACAGCGCCATCTAGTGGCGAGTTACAGAAAAATTGATAGCCTAAAAACCTTCTTTATGGAAAATTACTTATACATGTCAAGTTTCATCACGATCGGTTGGACCAAAATAATTTTATGAATCGCTATGAAACTGAGCCATTCCAAATGATTTATCAAAAATTATCGAAACCTCAGAATATGTGGAAGACATCTACTAAATGTAGAGCAGTAGCAAATGCTCCTATGGCAAAGTTCAACAGCAAACTGAAAACAGCAGACTGCTTGTTGATGCCATGAAGAAGATGAACCCTTCAACTGACAACTGAATTGTAATTGGCATACTGATGTTAATGAAAATGAAATTAGATTTTGACGTGAACAGAAATAGTTCAGAACCTCCCACTTCTCTAGTGACAAGCAGTACATGAAGTGGAAGATCGAATTCTACACGACTTAACTTTAGGACGAGATAAAAAGTGGCCAGAAGGTGAATCGTGATTTGAATTCGTTTCGAAACTGGTGAAAACAAGAACAGTGGCCAATTGGTTTCATCAATAGTCTGATTATGCTGAGATGAATCCATGTCAGTCAAGCAGGACACTTTGACATCAAAAAGATACTAGCATAGTTTTGGATGTGATAATGCCATGCGACCTAAGAGACAACTTATACGAATTACTAGTATCCGGTCTAACAAACAGTTAGAGAGGAAGTTTGGGGGGAAGGATGTTCTGTAGTTGCATCAACCACAGAAAAAGAAATTTTTCTCAGAGCTACAGAGAAGATGGAAAGTCTTCCACTCTGTCGGTGAATTAATGATTCTCTTTGTCTCTGTCTACCATGGCAACTAGTGTATTACCGACTTTCTCTGATGGAAACGATCTTTACAAGTGATTACATCAGACACAAACAAGCAAATTACTCATGAAACAGTTAAGCGGCAATAGGATCTTGTGGTGTGCTATATTGATGCTAGAATATGTTGGGGAGCAATGATGAATCATTTTTCTATTGCCGTATGAAGTGTTTCACTTATCGAAAAGTTCAGAATCATAACAATGTCTTTTATACTGAATCGTACCTATATTGATATACAGAAAGGAAATTGACTTACGAATAATTGATAACCATATTGATCAAACCGAAATGACAATGGCATACACCTTTAGGAAGTCCTGTGGTACCACTACTGAAAGAAATAACGGCAGTACTGTAGCAATCTTGAATGATTTCTGGGAAAAAACGATCCTCATCTTTTGATGGACTCAACAGTTCTCCAAGTGTTTGATGTACATCTGATTTGCCGGCAATGACCATAACAGATTTGACCTCTGAACGATCAATGCTTTTTTCCATCTTTTCTGAATGTTCTTCATCAACGAAAATGAATTTAGGTTTCACAAGATTCACGCAATGAATCCATTCCTTTTCTGTTTGTATGGGATCCAAGGCAGCGAATTTTGCGCCGCAGTATAAGACAGCAATATGCGGAATGACTGAGTCCAAATTGTTTTTGAGGCAGGTTATCACGATATCCCCATTGGTAAGTCCTAGTTTTTTTAGATTGATTGCCAGTCTAGATGATCTTTTGCCAACACTGGAAAATGTTTCTTTTTCCCCAGTCTCACCATCTATCTGAAAATGGAATTTGGCACTGCATCAACAAAAATAACTTCCAGTGTCATTATTTTTGGGTTTAAAGGCAGTCGATTTTTGAAATTTTCTCCTGACGTTCCGCTGGTGCGAGAGACTAGCTTCTTCACAGGTTTATACACCCTTAGTTATTCTCCGATGACTAGATATTACGGCTGCGTAAACCGTATTTATGTTGGCTCAGGTAGTTTGGTTGGCTGATACCTGTACCTGGAATAGGTGAATTGTCAAAAACTTTCATCGACTCTTTTCTACTTCCCGTCATGCTGGTTGCTATTTCTGAACTTCTTAGAATGTGATTCCATATTCGGTTGAGGGTCACAGCATCTCTTCTATCGAAATTATCCGTGTGTTTCTGGGTCTCTATTGCCTCTATTGTCTCCCCGAACACTCCAATAATTTCAACCAAAAAGAAGACGCTGTAACCCGGAACCGAGTGTGGAATCCGATTCTAAGTAGTTCTAGCGTAGCAAACAGCATGACGGCCGGTGGAAAAGGGTCAACGAATATCATTTACAATTTTCCAAATCCAGGTACAGATATTATCACTTCAGACTAGCTGAATCTACATAAACATTCACATAAACATTACATGTAATTTTTGGTAACAAATTGTTAATGTCGCAACTCAGTACTAAATTGGCTTATTAACAGAGGATTTTATTCGCTGTTTCACCCATTTATGATTTATCCAAATAATGAAAGAACTCATTCAGAAACTTGATTGAATATTTATTGTGACGAAACGGGGAAAATACTTACACTGAAATGTTAGTCAAAAATACAATAAATCACCAAAAACTTACATTATACTGCCACCCAGCAGGAACGAAGAAAAGAATATGTGCTGCATTGCTGGAAACTTTTCTGAAGATCAATAGATACTGAATGAATTTCTCAGTACTGTCTATTTATGATCTTGACCTTCCTCGATATTTATGAAGATTTATAGGCTGACATTGCAACTTTGATCCGGTCACTGTACTGAGGTAAAATGTTCAGTATGAAATCTGTGCAAAGTTTGCGTATTTCGAGATTGTTTTATATTTCTATATCCTGCTATCGTATCAATTTTGATGTTTCTGAACTTGGAGTATTGAAAGATGGAATTCTGAATACTAAGTGTTTTTGTTTAAGAATATTGAAGTTGAGGTTGGAACATGTTAAAAAATTGTTATGTTGGCAATGTCCAGACAAAAGTTTATGTTGGTAATAGTGTGTAAACAAAAATGGAAAAAAGAGAAGAAGAGAATAATAAAGTGACTTTTGGTTGCTAGTTAATTTTGACTCAACATTTGAGCCTAAAACTAAAGCAATTAATCGAAAATAAGTAAGAAAAACTAAATATTGGTAACAGAGCATCTTTCAATTCGAATGAATTTGAATTATTTCATGATTATTTTCCATATTTGACATCATTGTCGAAATTTTTATTCGCTCCGTACCTTCAAAACTAAGCGCCCTATCAAACATTATCAAAGGACAGAATATCCTTTGAATAGTTCAATGAATAGCCCCTTGAAATTTTGCTGCATGTTTGATGAACACCTTGTATAATGATTACATCAAATGTTCGTTTCAAAATAAAAATTACCTGCTAGAATTCAACGATATGCTTTATGCAAATTAATTGTTATTGCTGAAATATTTGTGAATGCAATTTGGCATAAATTGCATTACAGTCATCAGGGCTTAGAAAAAACAATCATATTCACTTCCCCATAGGATTTACATATGTACCCGGTTTTCCCCTACCGGTAGGGTAGAACCAAGTGATTTGAGTTTTTTTCTTTCAAAATTATTGAAAGAAAAACTTGAACACTCATGACATTTAAAATGTATATATGGATGCGCCTATAATCAAAGGCTGTGTGTACAAATTTTTAGTTCTATTAGCCACAAATTTAAGTTTCCAAAAGCCATCAAACCTTATATACCCGGTTTTACCCTAACTTCCCCTACTATGGAAATCGTAAATTTTCAAGATATATATCCCTCTCAAGATTTTGTATAGACTTGCGGCTAGTACCGAAGTTTATTGTCGAGTTGAGTTGAATTATAAAGATAAAATTTCACCCGATGGGATTGTTGATGCTGAACACAAAAAACACTTACCTGATATATATTATCAGCGTACTTCTCGACTTGTTCGAAAATATATTCTCCCAATCCTTTCCGTACTTTTTCGAAATCACTTTTTGCGCCAGAAATCATTTTTCTGAAGAATTTACCAACAACAAAATTCCCCTTGATATTTTTCAATACAACTAACCTAACGTACAATAATCAACTGAATCTGGTTACAGATATTGGAGGTCACTGAAGGTCATTTACACTAGAATATGAGAGTATATCATAAGTATAGATAGGATGAAATGAAGTGCAGATATATCATCAATTTAGCATTCTGACTTAAATCACTCTGATTATACAGGGCGGTACGAAATTTCAGAGGGACATTCGTTAGGTTGTTTAGAGAAAATAAGTTCTCATGAACATGCATCCTGAGTTGCTTCTTTTCTGGGATAAATGGTGTTGAAGTTAAAAAAAACGAAAATTTTGAAATATCATAAATATCCTTACAATGATTTGGTTGAAACTTGCTACAGTTATTTGAAGTAATAAGGCTCTGTTTTAGCTATATCTGTATTGAAATTATCAGGTCCAGTGCTTTGGAGACCAGCCGACAATGATAGTGTTATCATATCAGTAAGAATCCGAGTTGCCAATTAGCAGTTATTCCATTTTGAATGATTCTTCTAATGCTGAAATGACTGACATGCAATTTATTACTGAACTAGCAAATGGAAATGCGGAAGAACCATGAAGAATTCACGAGGACAGATATCTTAAGAGAGTAATTCCATGTGCTTAAACAGTTAGAACTCTACATACAATATTATGTGAAACTGGGAGTTTTGATTGAAATGCAGGTGGTGGAAGACCAGGAACTGTAACAACGCCTGAACTAGAAGCTATACTTGATGCGGTAGAAGAAAATCCTTCAAATAGTATCATGAAAATTGCACTGCAGCTGGAAGTCAGCCCAAAAACCGTATGGAAAGTTCTAAAAAGAAACCTACTATACCCATATCACATACAGCGGGTTCAAGTGCTACTGCCCTTGGGATTTCCCCAACATTAATGTTTTGCAGGTAGTTGATTCATAAGATGACACAAAATAATGAGTTTTGACTGAATACTTCATCTATGGACGAAGCAAATTTTTCACGAGATGCTATTATTAACCTTAAACAATGACTATTTTCGGCCCGACGAAAACCCCCACGTTATCAGAGAAAGTCATTTCCAGCAAAAATTATTTGGCCCTTTTTTTCACCAGCAAGAATAACAAGTGAATCCTAAAGGGACTTTTTGCAGGATCTTTCACCCGTTTTGTTTGAGAAAGTGCCGGTACTTGTAAGAGGCAACATGTGGTTCATGCACAACGGAACTCCAGCTCATTTAAGGCGTTTATTCACCCTTCGAAGTTTGATACCAAATAGTTATTGGAGTACAGTAGGGATGAACTACGATGTTTAACAGGCTTTCTTACAAGTCACTGTCATTTGAATCATCATATGAATTTCTTTGAGTCGTTTGAAACTTTTATTCTCGAATAATGACACATTCGATATGTTTTTTGCATTGCCAGAAAGTTTGTTATGAAATTTCATACACGAATAGGGAGCACTATTTTCCGTGAATGATAATCTATAAGCATAATTGTTGGAAATATTTTCTGTATGATTTTTTATTTCAAATGACACGGAAGAGTATTTTTGCTTCCAAAATACAAATCATGAAATTATAAAACAACAACAAAAATTAATTGGCGCTCCGGGGCGACTTCATCGATTCCAGTGGCGCATTTGCTTTTTCAGCTGTTTGAGAACCCGGGAAAACTTGCAGCATCATATCACCTAAAAATATTGATCTGCCAATGTCCTCTCTCCCATAAAACAAAATGTAGGGTGTCTCCAGAAGCTCCAATAAATTCAATACATCGCCAGAACACTTCGTGACACGACTATCGTCAAACTTAAACCAGTCCGTTTCGTCTTTGACCAAGGCGTAATAATGACCAAATTCAACGCCAGAACCACAGTGAACAATGACTGCATGAATATTATAAAAGTGGTCTGCTAGATTGAAGTGTTCACATATTTCGAACCTTCGTAAGAGTGGTGCTTCCGTCAGAGGTTGAGTCATGTTTGAAGATCATCAGTGTTATTTATGAGATTGACTGGTGCCTCAGCTATACTTGTTTTACTTCAACAGTCAGTTAGTTTGGCGCATGTTTGGCAATACAGTCGATCATCACCTGTTAATAGTTCCATTTTCAGATGATTTAACAATAAGCTTTGCACGGACTGGTTATTAGTCATATTAAGAAATGCTAGTTGAAGTTCCAGAAATTCACATACATTTTAGCTACCGTTTGAACATTCACTACAAAGTAAACAAGTGAGGATTTTTCCAGCAAAAGATTTACAAATACAAGACGATATAGACTGTACGGAATCATTCAATCCAGAGCGGTCAGGAGTATTGATCCTGCTATCGTTTTGATCACGAAGAGTATTCAACAAGAACCCCAAGAATTCGGAACAATCCTCTTGTCCTAACGAAAATAATAGTTTAATTTCATTTTTGAACAAGTATAGAAGACATCCTTTTATGTATACTCCATGAAAAGTTAGCGGTTTTCTATTTCTGAATTCAACTCGGATCGTTGTATTTGAGTTTCTAAAAGTTCTATTTTGAATAACAATTCGGTCGGGTGCTGCGAATCAATCGACCACTGTGAGGGCCGGTGATTCGAGCATTGAAACTGTACATCGATTTTCACTGCCTATCGTCCAACCCGTGATAGAGATCGCACGTTAAAAGGTGTGACCTCGTTAATCATCAGCTCGCCCAAGTTTCTACTCCTGAAGGTTACCGTAGGTATGTGGCATAACCTGATGAATGTAAAAATATATTTCAATGTACATGTATTTTGCTGAATCACATGCCGAATTCAGTCAGATTGTAAACGTCCATTTTCATCCTGGAAATTCTACAATTACCGTTACTTTCTTGAAAAATTTATCAATTTTCATATTGGTAAGTTTCTCAAAATTTGACTTAGTTGTTGTGATGAGCGTGGTCTTTATTTTGCCTCCATTTGGAGTCAACCTCTTCATGAAAAACTACTTGCTCGAAGTGGAAGCTGCAGTGGAATAAAGAAAGCGGATCTCGTTCGGTGGTAGATGTCGATGCTTGGCTTCGCAACTGACCGCCTTGGGGAGCCTCATTCATTTCTAATATTCGAAGCATCACCTTCACAATGAATAGAGCGTACCTCTATAAGTGTTATGAGATATTGTTATATACCGGGTGTCCCACATTTTATGTGACAAGCAATATCTGATTTGTTGAAGGAGATACACAAAAATTTTTCATACAAAAGTTTTAGGAGTTCATGAGAGCTATATTTTGATATAATTTTTAAATATACAGGGTGTTTGGTGTAGGTGCTACAGACCAAAATTCCATTTTTTAAAATAGAACGCCATGTATTCGACGTTTCGAAGCCTGTATAATATCTAATGGGCATCACTTCGAACAATTTTTATGACTTATTTCTAGGTACCTACCATTTTTATGAAATGATTTATCAAGTTATATTATTTACATTTGTTTTCGAATACACCTCTTTCAATTTCGCAATTGTTTCACATTCAAAATGATTCCTGACTGAATTCAACAACTCAAAATTGTAACCATTACTTCGAACACCCAAAATTTTGACTAATTTTCATGTGATCTGATGCAGAGAGAACCACATATTCACAGAACAGCCCGAGAATCCAAAACTAGACATCAGGCTGGTTTTCATCAAAAAATCCAATCGACCACTCACCAGTGACGAAACAAGTTGACTATCTGAAGGGAGAAACACAAGTTGGAAATAGTAGTTTCATACACAGCATCCTAGTAATTCCATGATTATTTGCATCGTATCATACAGATGAAGCTAGCCGAAAATGGAGACCTGAAAGATAGAACAAACTTACTGATACAAGTAATCATGGAATTTCTAGGATGCTGTGTACGAAACTGCTACTTCCAGCTGAAGGAAGAATTCTTTGCGCAAGATGAGGGACTGCCAATGGGATCGCCACTTTCCCCGGTTATAGCCAACATATATATGGAATTGTTTGAAACTCTGGCCATTGAAGAAGCCCACAAGAAGCCCCGAGTCTGAGATACGTTGACGATACCTTCATAATGAAGAACCATGGGAATGCAGAACTAGACACCTTCCTGAAGCACATCAACAACGTAAGTCTTTCCATTACTTTCACAATGGAGAAGGAAGTCCACAACGAATTGCCATTCTTAGACGTATTGCTGAAGAGAGTCGACACTAAATGGGAAACATATGTATACCGAAACAGTATCTGAACCAGAAATCCAATAACCATCAATTGACCAAGGGAGGAATCATTAAGACTCTAGTAGACCGTGCATTATGGCTCTGTAATATAAAGGAAGGTTACTCCAAAGTGATGGTAAAACAGACTTTGGCTAGAAGACACAAGAGCCTTACAAGGAAGAGAATCCGCCACAACCAGTACTTGTTCTTCTCTACATCAGCGGATTGTCGGAAAGGATAAGTAGAATTGAGTCCAAGTATAACATCAGAACCTGCTTCAGATCTGGGAACACTATCCGTAGCAGCCTCACGAAAACCAGGCAACCAAACGCAGACTGCTATTCCAAGAATTGCATTTACCGGATACCCTGCGAGTGCGGAGGATCATACATCGGTGAAACTAAGAGGCCATTGAAAGTTCGCATTGCTGAGCACAAGAAACACACACAGCGAGGAGAAACCAACAAATCCGGAATAGCAGAGCATGTTTGGACTCATCAACATAATATCAAGTGGGCTCAAGCTGAAATCATCCACAAGGATCTCGTGTTGATAGTTCATTTTTTTTATTATTGCTTGAATTTTATTTCATTGTAATTTCAGTTCTTTTTCTCAATATAATTGTTTTTTTTCAGCTAATCTTTTTGATTTTTTATAGATTCTTTTATATTAGATCATATTAGACAATGGAAGTCCGAACCAATGATGAAAATATCATCATTGATGTAGTGTATAAGTTTTGACTGAATTTATCTCAAATTCTTGGATATATCGATCCAAATGTATCAACTATAATTGAATAACACTTGAATGTATAAAACATACTAAGAGTGGTAATAATAAAATAGGCATGTATTTAATTCATCAACATGTTTTTATTTCTATACAGGAGATATACACAGAGAAGTTACACCTACTATTATTGTCGATGTGAGTAGGCATTTGCATTGGTCAAGAGATATCAGAAATCACTCGAAAAATATAAGTTACTTCAACTGATATGAATCGTCAACTAAAGCAACAGTGGTTCCAATATAAAAAATAATTCAAACTATCTTCACAAGTCATAACATAAGAAGTCACACCAAAAAATGTTTATAGATACCAACTCAAACAAAAAAATAATGATACCAAATCTCAACCAGTCAGTGACGGGTTTGAGTTGACATTTTTCCCCAAAATATTCATCTCTATCACAACCAGTCTCTTTCAGTAAAATTAAGTTTCGCGGTTCCAAAACAGCTGAAGAAGCTATAGTGATTTTTTTTAAATCTCTCAATACACCTAACTGTTGTATAACACGTCTCAAGTTTGATTTAATGAAGAGCATTCAAAGCTCTAGTTCAATTTGCCTCAAAACCTGAATGTAGCAAATTATTTTGAATACAATATTCAAATAAACGAACTAAAATGAAAACATATCAATAGTATAATAAGCATAATATCATGCGAGTTCTTGATCAGTTTCATAAAATGCCTAAAAATATGTAAGAGGTATATTTTCAGAAACTATGGAATGTTAATAACAACAAAAATCTGTTTATTCAGTGAATTGAAAGAAAATTTTAGTGGAAACGGAAAGATGGAAAAAAACTCAGAAGTCGCACTATTCTCAAATTTTATTCCATACTTTTGAACCTCATTATGTACGAGTAAGAACCTTCTGATCCTGGTATTTCTTCAAAACATGTTAGGTTATATCAAATGAGAATGAAACTTATTCAAAAACCGAATTTTGTGTGTTTCCAAATGAACTGTGAAATCTGAGTCAATTCGGTGATAGTCTAGAATAAACAGATGTTCGTTTATCACAAAATTATCATATTGATATTCCAATACCGAACCTCTGAAAAATAATGATCATTCTTGACATTATGATGAATTTACTTTCACGATTATTCAAAACGTTTTGAGACTTTTACAAATATCTCGATTGGAGAAAAATCATAATCAAAGTGACTACGTATGACTAGCATCCATAATATACCTCATTTTTTAATATATTATATTTTTGTCAAAAAAATATGTATGGATATTCAGTTTACAAAGTGGCCCCTGGCGTAAAGTACCTATAGTTTATTTCAGCTTTCTTGACTTGTACCTCTAGTACTATATGCACCGCACGGGTGCAATGCTGATACTAAATATATACATTTGAACGCGCTATTTATAGGCACGCGCCGCCGGCCCCACAGCCGGTACCGCTGTTACCGCTATGTCCCTGCATTTCGAATCTGTAATAAATAAGCCATTATTTTTCGAGGATAAAAAATGGTTATTGTGGGTTATCCCTAAGAGATAAACATTTATCATCGCGGACTTTTTTGTAGACCTTTTTAAGGTGTACAACACTGTAGTACATTTTTTGATCTATCTCGTAGCGTTCAGCCAGCGTTTGCAATGTAAGCGCCAAAAATGTGTTTATTCACGACATCACATTAGAAACCTCCGAAATTATCAGTGTTTCTTCATTATATTATGCATGTTATATACATAAAAACCTTCTCTTGAATCAGTCTATCAATTGAAAAAATCTCGCATCAAAATCCGTTGCTTAGTTTTGAAGATCAAAGCATAGGTACATAGGGACAGACAGCGGGAAGCAACTTTGTTTTATAATATGGTATTGATATTGATTAGTGAAAAGATTATCTTTTGAATCTTACCTAAATACATCATTCAATGAAGTCGATTGTTATCTACCTCGCCCTTTATTTGAATCAAAATTCACAAATGGTTCACATTATCACTCCAAAGTACATTATGATATGCTTTACAGTAAGGGCATGTCTACGAGAAAGTTCTTGGAACGAACTGATTTTCCTCTTCTCCAAAATTTGTGGAATTTAATGCATTACCGGTACTGGAGAAACCTTCTCAGTTTATTGATGAAAATGTTTCTAAAACACTGCTTCGGAATTTTTCTGGACTGAGTTATTAGAATACTCATACCATCGATATAGGTAAGAGCTGTATGAGAATATTAAATACTCTAGAACAAATAACATCTTTGGCAAACACTATATATATATATAACCCACAGAAAGATTAAATAAAAAACCATTATTTTGAATTCATTCAATTTTAACGGAAAATGAAAATATCAAATGACACTTTGATGATGAAATATCGATTCAGTAGGAATTTTCAGATAGTGACTGCTCCTCTCATATTTTATTAAATCGTTAAAACTGGAGTCGTTAACTTTTCTATATGTTTTTCCTGGATCTGTTATCTCATGTGAAGCTGACAGTCAAGAAATTTTTCTGAAAATTCACCAACAGTGTTTATAATCAATGTTTTGAATACTCCACCATATATTAGGTATATGTGGAATCACACTTGTAAATACGTTGCCATATTTTTGAAAATTCAATACCTTCGCTGCTCAGCTTTCCAATTCCAATGCTAAGTAAGTAAAGTGGTAAAACTCGTTTAGTACGTTAGACTTCAAAAAAGCTGAAATACACTTCCTGAATAAGAACAAATACAAAAATATCAATGAAATATCAGAGAAAACGATTTTTTTGTTGACGACTCTTGGAGTTTTTTCAAATCTTATAATAGGCAAAAATAGAATAAATTACTAAAGATCAACATTTGATCATTTCCCAAACTATTGTCAAAATTCAACAAATCCTATAAGCAGCCTAAATTCGTTTGGAGCAATTGAATTTGAGATACTTCTGAAAATGGAGTTCCAATATAAGCGACGGTCATATGGAGTTTCGATTTCGTGAGAAAATGGTTTGATAATGTTTGCAAATTAGTCATGTACCAATGTTAAAATACTTCAGTTATGAAATACAGTTATGAACGGATACTATTCTTTGATGAAATTGATACAACTGAAAGATAACTCATTTCATGTTCAAATCTTCCAGTTTTTGAAGCATCCTAATTCTTTCTATGTGTACATATTGGCAGTATTGTTGCAAAGGAGTCATTTCAAAATGACTGGCCAATATTCGAAACCCTTCATTGTCAGTCTGATCATGCTCCTTCCTGGAAACAAATAAATACAATTTCTTTGGCTCCCCATTTAGAGAGACCCTTTCAGAAACTTTAAACTTTCAAGACCCCGTTTGATTGTTACAGATATACCACGTGATTTAGGGCATGTTTATATTAGACTACCATGAGAAAATCAATGTGTATCAATTTCTTATTTTTCCCTGGACCAGTTGTCTTCCAATTCAATGTTGATTGCATGCTTCTGGACTGAGTTTTGATTACCAAACAGGCTGTGTTTCCCAGCAGTGAAAGACTTCAGTTGTGAAACCTATACCTAAGAAGCCCTAAACAGAAGTAAATAGCCTCAGCCCCTTGACTTTGACATCTGTACCCCTCAAAATCGTTGAAGAGGCCATTTTATCCAGATACAAAACATTGTTGAAGAACAGCATGTTCTACCTTAGAACCAGTCAGGCTTCCATAAAGGTCATAGTTCAGTTTCTGCATCATGTTCTATGACAGACAGCCAAGAAATGATCTCTTGCCCTATTGGTTATGTAGAAGGCTTTTGATACTGTCATCCTTGCCAGCCTAATCAACAAACTCTATTGGTATGGGTTCCACGGTCGAATTTCAAACTTGCTCAAATCCTACGTCTTCAACTGACCCCATTTATATTTCTGCTTTAGAATACGTCCACAGCGATAAAATGTATTTGATTCTCGTCACATTAGTCCCAATATGAATACTGGATTTGAAGTGAATATACATTAAAAATATTCAAAACCCCCATTTTCACCTTCAGGCTTATTTCGATTGGACTATCTGTAACAACCAACTCGTTCCAACCTACTCAATAACAGATATGTCATAACCTATAATTTCACAGTTTTAGCTTTTCCAACTACAACCAATATCTTCTGCAGGAATATCGTTGCCCCGTTAGAACCCGATTTGAACCACTTCGGTTTCGGCCAATAGACGAACAAGTAGTAGACTGGAACAGACGTGAGAATCATGAGGACGCCCATGCCTGTTTCGTACGGACTAGCCGCCATCGGTACTGCGGTTACAAAGATGGTGCAGGCGAGGTAGAGGATGGGCCAGAAGAGGTTCACTTTGATGGGTCTGGGCAGGTCGGGTTGCTTCCAACGCAGCCAGGGAAGACAGAGAACTGCGACTCCTATGCTCAACTGAAAAAAAATAGTAGTGATGGTTTATTATCGGCCGAAAATCGGGATATCAAACATTTGCAAAAACTGGGTCGAAGTGATGATAAAAGTTAAGACTGGAACATCTGGAACATTCAAATACAATCGGATATATGCTGCGTGTTCTTTGAAATGAGTACTAATGCCTCGCTTGATCTGACCGATATATTCGTCGTTGTTCTTTCTTAGCTTGAGAATTATGGTGTAAGAATCTTCTAGTTCCTGTTGAAAAGTGGTGAGAGGGGCTCTAACGAGTTATAGCACTCCTCTTTCGTTTCTTCCCAAAAAGAGACAATATGGCAAAATCATCACCATTGCAGTATTACCTAGGCATTCATCTTATGTTTCGAAATGAAAAATCAAGCATTCCATGAACCGTATCAGAAATGTATGCGTGTAGATAAGTTCCATTCAGTTCGATTCGTTTTCAGTAGCAACGGAAAATGAATAAAACCGAATGAAAACGCGTATGGGTGGAAGAGGTCATATGTATAAGGCGTTTAGGTCTAACAAACATGCTAGTACTTGTGTTTTCATTTTGACTCGTAATCTTTCATTGCTGATCCTATGGATTTCAAATGTAACATTTTGAATTAGTTAACAGAGGGTTTAATATGTGTTTGAATGAATGTTAGATGGATTATGAGAAGAAACAAGGACGTCTTCTGCATTTTTTTTTAAGTTCAAGGTGATGATGTCCCAGTTGAGAACTAATCAGATTTTGCATAGTAGTGGGAGGTGAAAAAGATTTCATAACCATTTTGAAATACTGTTGTGCGCATCTCTGTTCTATTCCGAAAATTTGAAGAAGTGCAGTCATTACAAGGGACTCAAAAAGAAAAGTATACAATTGTTCTACAAATTAACTGCCTCAATCAAACTGAGGATGATATTGTAAAGTAGAACGCTTCTGTAATGAAGTTATTAGGGACTGGAAAATTGAAATAAAATTATTTTTGGAAAAGTGACCTTCATACACAAGTCTGATGGCCGAAGGGTTTACAAAAAACGCCTCAGACGAAGCTCTCTGGCTCACAGAGAAACATGTGCCATGCTATCAGTGGTGCCATCAGTACCACACCGTTAGCGGCTATGGAGATCCTTCTAGATCTACCTCCTCTACACATTTTTCTGGAGAGAGAGGGGCTAGATGGACTGCATATAGGCTTTTGCACATTGCCAATTCCACAAACCAATTTATTGCAGAATACAACATACTGTTGACACTGACAGTCACAGCATTCTGGAAATGACCTTTGACTCTGTGCCTGCAACTGTCAACTGCGAACTGCTTCATAAAGTACTGTTCCCGATTAAAGAGGACTGGATCCTCCGGGAGAAGGAAATATTGAGAGCAGATAGTTGTTCGTTGACAGATGAATCAAAAATACCTTCCGATTCTGGTGCAGGTGTTTTCAGTCAGAAGACTCAACAGATTGTCTCTGGTCTGGATTCCTGGCCATACTGGCCTGGAAGGCAATGAGGCTGCTGACTCGCTTGCAAAGGAGGGTGCTGCAAGCAGCTTCATCGGACCAGAACCTGTCATTGACATCGCTTTAAGCTTTGCCAAACAAACATTGAACACCTGGATGGCAAGAAGATTTATGGACTTCTGGCAGAATCTTCCAGGACTGGCACACTCCATGGCGCGTATTCATCCTTCGAAGCTTGATACCAAACAGTTGGACTACAGTAGCGATGAACTACGATGTCTAACGGGCCTTCTTACAGGTCACTGTCATTTGGATCATCATATGCAGGGATTCGGACTATCGGAATACAATGTGTGTCGCCTCTGTTTGGAAAATGATGAAACAGCAGAGCACATACTTTGTGCCTGCCCCACAGGGAACCGAATCAGGTTATTAGAGTTCGACAGCCGTACTCCTGATATCTGACCTGAAAAACCACTCACCATACAAACTAATCGGCTTTGGTGAGAAGCTGGTTTTATTTGGTCGAGTGTGAATAGGTGTGACCCGCAATAAACCCTTGCGGGTTGTGGCGGAGGGTAGAATAGACTCACTCACTTCAGACCTAACCTAACCTAACCTAAAGTCATAAGTGTGACAATTATTTTATTATATTCGTTAGTGAGAATTGGAGTGGTTCAAGATTTCACTCATGAATTGCATGTAATCAGGTTGTTTCAAAAGTTTTGTCCATTTCAAAGTCATGTATTTTTGTAGCTCCATATCTCACTAAATATTTATTCTACTTTGTCCTGGTATATACTAATCGATAGAGAATTTTTTACTCTATATATTGATGCTGTTATTTTTTTCCAAATTGAATTTTTTTGGTCTTTTTCAGCTTATCAACATATCAAGTCGCTAAGCGAATCTCGGCCAATTTTTCTCTATGAATTCAAATTGAACCAAAGCCCTGTCAAAACAGCTCAAAAACTCAACCTAGCATTTGACAATGACAATGTTAATAACGTTGGTTTGCAAAATTTCGTTCCAGAGCTTGGAAGATGTTTCCCGACGTGGTCAATCTACAGTAAGTAATCTAGGACGGGGAATTGAGGACCCTGGTGGAGACTGACCTATCACAAACGGTACATGGTATGGCGGGCTTCATCGGCTTCATCGAATTTCGAGCATACCATTTCATGCTGACGGAGTTAACAGCTTTGTGTTATGCTGATAAAAGTGCACTGATTCAAATGGTGCTTATTTCGATCAAATTGAATAATTATTCACTGAGATATAACAGTTTCAATTAGACCCATAAAACCAGCGAAACTTTTGAAAAAGCCCAATAGAAAAAAACAGCATCTGGTATTTCATGATGAACATAAATTAATTCCTTACCCAAGTTGCGAATCCAACGTAGTTTATGAGCGCATCTATGTCGGATACTGTCAGATACAACAACGATAAAAGGGCCTGAAAAATAATTAGTATGTTATTTCAGCTCCAATAGTGATTACCATAAGTGTTATTCTGGATACTGCACTTCAATAAATTTGCAAGTAATGAATTGAATGGATCTGTATTATTTTGAAATAGCATTAATAATCATATTATGGTGATACTTTTGAGAAAGTTGATTTCATAAATTGGCAGCCCCATTACAAGATTATAGTGGAGCTTTAGAACTGAAAGCCACACTTGGAATCAACTCTATTGAATACAATCCAAGTGATCCCTACACCGAAGAAGAGGACTATGAAAGCTATTCAACAACCTAACAACCTAACCTTTCCGTATTGGATTTCTTTCATTTTGGATCAATTGCAAATGCAAAAGTGAGCATTTGCATCAACACCCTACCACCACCCACCACTCTCTAAAATTATAAATACGAGTGAACACGGAGGTCGCCACTCAGTCAGTCGATTCACATTAATGATTTACTGAAAACAAATCTTGATGGTAATTTTTATTCATATGCAGAATACACTGTATATGTAGTGGATGGAGATAACTGGAATGAGACTATATTGAAGGCTGAAGTTGGCATGTCAATTCTGAAACATAACTCGAGTTATAACATATTGGCACTCAATATCACAAAAACTGATTTCATGACATTTCTATGTGGTGAAAAATATCAGTCGAAATTTGATGAAATGGAAAATCATAGTTCGATATGTTCACAGAAACATTTCTAAAAAATGCTATTGCACTGTTGAATCAAATAGAACCCCAAAAATGAAATATTCAGGAATTTATATAGAATCATACGTTGAAAGGTAAGACCTCGTTAATCCTTAGCTCGCACAAGTTTCGACTTCTGAGAGTTGTCGTTCGTATATAGGGGTGCGAGAGCTGGTTAACGGAAAGACAGATTTGAAACAGACTTCTGAGAAACACATTTGGAGCGAAAACTTTATTGGTGTTTCATCATGTAATATTTTTCAATATGAATTTTCATTTTCATTTTTCAAGTCATATTTTTTATATATTTTTTCATTTTTCCACTTTTTTCCATATTTTCTTCATATAACATTTCAGCTATTTATTCTAATTTTATTTGTTCTTCCATAAATTTTGAATCATATCAAACTCATTTTAAACAATGGAAGTCTGAACTATAATGTTAGGCAGATAGTGTCCGACCGATAGTTCGGTTTCGATTTCGGTCGAGTTTCGGCAAAAAAACGGGTTTCGGTTTAGTTTCGGTTTCGGCGACAAACCTGCCGAGACTACGACCGAAACCGAAAGATCTGTCATCTCATTTACTCGACTAACTGGAATGCTGTCAATAACATAAGAAAATTCTATTATATTCTTTTTTCTAGAAAATGATAGAATGTAACATTTCGATATGTTCAAACGTAAATGGTTCTTGGAACACCAGTCGAATACTAAATCGATTTCATTTTGTAAAATTAAGCAGTCTTCATAATTGTCAATTACTTTGTATAGCTTCAGATCATCAGCGTAAAGAAGTTTTGGGCAGTTCATCATTTTCACCAGGTCATTAATGAAAAGCAGAAATAAAAGAGGCCCCAAGTTCGAGCCTTGTGGTACCCCTGAGCTAGGTGTGTACAAAGAGGACTGAAAACCTTCATGTTCTACGTATTGCTTTCTGTCAAAGAGATAGCTTGTGAAAAGATCAATTAAACTTCCAGAAAAGCCAAACGATGATAGTCGCTGAATGATGATGTGAAAATCAATTTGGTCAAACGCCTTTTGCATGTCCGTATAAGCTACGTCAACTTGTTGCTTTTGGTCTAAAGCATCTGAAACATGTTGTGAAAGGCATGCAAGATTGGTCACACATGACTTTTGTTCCACGAACCCATGTTGATCGCCCGATATTATATTTCTGATCGAGTTATAGATAAAACTGTATAGAATTATTTCGAAAAGTTTCGAGAAATTGCTGAATATGGAAGTAGACCTGTAATTTTTTATAACAGTTGCGTCCCCTTTCTTCAAGATAGGACATACTTGTGCTGTTTTCCAAATCTCCGGAAACGTAGATGTTTTCAGTGAAAGGTTAAAGATGTGAACCAAAGGGCTTAATAAAGGGTGGATACAATCTTTTACTAGAACACTCGGTATGTGGTCCGGTCCAACAACTAGTTTGTTTTTCAATTTCTTAGTGGCCTTAATAATATCTATCACATTAATATGTTCGATATTTATACCCGGAAAATTGTTTGGAAAGTTATCTAGCATACCACACATGTAGATATCCGATATGATATAAACACTTTTAAAATAATTCGCAAAAGCGAATGTCGAAGACTGCATAATGTTGTGATGTAAAGATGAACAAATAAAGACTAACTGATTAAAATAACCTTTTCTTCATTTTTCCCTCAAAACATAATCCTTGTAAGGAAGTTTCAGTTTCGGATTCGGCCGAAACTGAGACGGTTGCCGAAATTCGGTTTCGGTCGTAAAAACCAGTTTCTGTCGGACACTATAGGCAGATCAACATTTCAGAGATAGAGCGTTTAGTTCTCCTAGTTTTCAGATAATATATAGCGTTTAGTTTTCAGAGTTATAGTTTTCAGAGATAAAACGTTTAGTTCTCCTAGTTTTGTGTAGGCATAAGTGACAGGAAGATGAAAAAAAAATCAGAAATATCAGCAAGTATCAAAGACATCTACAACTTTATCGTAAGTATCTATTTCATACCATTAGGAAGGAATTTTATGTGCTAATTTTTCCATTCTTCAAATAATAATAGATGAACAGAAAACGTTTCGTGTTTAAAAATGTAACCTTTCCCAATAAAACTTCCTTTTCGTGAAATATATCTATTTCTGAATTTTTTCCAACATAGGTTGTTATTGCTGACACAAAACAATGGTTCACTGTTTTTCATCTGATGTGGAAACTAGATATATAAACGCAATATCAACAGTTGTGATAAGCATGAATTCTCCTAACTGTAACAAGATCACGAAATTAGATTCAGATAAATTCAATTTCCTTCCGAAACTGAAATAAATTCACATTCATTGTACTGCCCGATTGACACTTTATTTCGCTAGACTATTGCAGCTTGTATATAAAGTTCCTTTTTGTGACAACAGATAGGTTCTGCGCTCTATATTCTTGTCTATTTCAGTCGGACAACATCAATACCAAATTGTGTCATCTTTTAGATTCATGTTATTAATGATTCCACTCACGAATTATAGTTACAAACGACTTTTCTGTCTCACAGAAATGTTTCAAAAAGAATCTCTTCTGTTTCACTTGTTGAAAATGAAAGAAAAAAATTATATAACTTATTCATTCATAGTGTGGTTATGCATAATAGCACCCATAGCAGAGGTAATAATAATAATACTTCTGCTTAGAAACAGCATTTCTCACAGTTATTTTTATTGATACGTTCCTCAGAGTAGCAACTACACGATTTGGAAAACTACGGATTTATTTTTTCTTACAACAAACTAGATAATTTTTGAAAACATATTTAGTCTGAACCAACCCTATTATGCTATTTCATGATAGGATGATTATTTTTTGCATTCAAAGCAATCAAGATCGATTATGTGTGGGTAGAAAAAATATTTTTTTAAAGTTAATTGTTGAAAGTCGATAGTTGAAAAAGGCTTAAATATTACGGATATCGCTTTCTGCTTGAATTTTAAGTGATAGCCAGTCTTCATGACTGTAGAAAATTGCAGTATCATCCGCATAAGTAATAATTTGACCACTTGTGTCTATTCTGAATAGATCTTTCAAATATATATTGAACAGGAGTGGTCCCAAAACAGTTCCTTGGGGTACACCATATTCTATTCTTTGAAAATTGCTCCTTACCATCTTCAGTTCAACACAATGAAATCTATTGGAAAGATAACTTTCGAATAATTTTAAAGCCACTCCCCTTATGCCGATGTTTTCCAAGCATTTCAGAAGCAAGTCATGACTGACCGTATCGAATGCCTTTGAAAGGTCTATGAATACACATAGAGAGGGTTTTCCTATATCTAAGGCATTAGACATCTTTGTTGTTGTTGTAACCTAACCTCATTACTATTCGAAACGTTACGTTTTTCTTCATAATTTTCAATGTTAAATCCCTTAATGGTTCAAGAAAACTCTCTTCTAATTGGCAGAAACTTACCATTATCAAAACAGATGGCGCTGGCGTCATCCTTTGGGCCTGGATCATCGTCAACAGCTCCGGCATCTGGCCATTGCATGCTCCTGCATAGAACAATCTAGAGGATGTGAGAAGGATACCATTCACGGCTCCAAATGTGGAGAGAGCGACGAATACAGGAATCGTCCAAGCCAACGGACCGAAAAGTCTGTTCGCGAAGGTAACTGCAACGGCTTTGGACCCTAAGATCTCCACCGGAGATAGAGTTGTGTAGAAAGCTATGTTGGTGAGCACGTAAACAGCTGTTACTAAGGTGCAGGAGATTGCTATAGCTAGAGGCAAATTTCTGAAAAGGATAATATTCATCATTCCAAGGGTAATGTTTCAAGTTGACCAAGTTTAATCGGTTGAAATTTATACAAATCCATATACAGGGCTATTCAAATTCGTTTCTGTAAATGGGGATCTCGCAAACGATAAGAGATAAAGTGTCGGTTGAATTGTGGTAAAGTTGCGTATTTTAGAGACCTATTCAATGATGTAAAAAAATGGAATATAGCTTTTTTGGTTCTGGAGATACACAGGATAAACCAAAAAATTCTAAATTATATTTTGCCTAGATCTTCTTCATTCGCAGACATATTGAAAATCTGTCTACATTTTGCTATTGGCACTTGATGTGTGCTTTCAGAATATGTCCATGATTCTTTTATATAGGGTGTCATCTGACACCCCCTTTGAATTTTCAAATACGGATCTGAATTTTTTGTTGTAGTTTTTGAATCGTAGACATTCACTTCATACTGAGAAGATGAATTTTATTTTATATTTGAGTATGTTTCGGTAATATTATTTGATTATAATTGGTCGATTGAGTTACAAGAATATATTATATGTTTTGATAAGCAGAAAAAGAAATGATAGCAATAATACCATCCAGAACCAACATTAAAATTGTAACGAAAATTGAAATGAAATAATTTATATACACAAAAAAATTAATGGAGCAATAAATGTTCAAATTGGAGTCCTTCCATTTCGAGACAAATACTGGACCAATATAATCTGTATGTATGTTTGTTTAAAATCTGTTTTTTCGTTAATCAGCTGTCGCCTTCATACGAACGACAACTCTCAGGAGTTGAGAAACTTTTGCGAGCTAAGGACTAACGAGGTTTTACCTTTTAACGTGTGATTCCTAACACGGTTGCAGATAAATTATCTCGAAAAAAAATTCTGGTTGAGGCGGGAGTCGAACCCACGGCCTTCCGATCGTGAGTCGGGCGCACTACCACCACGGCCAATTCCACAACAAGACTCGCAAGATCACCAGATCTAACTATTTTGTACTATTTTCTATGGGGACATTGAAACATAGGATTTACGCTGGCAGAGAGATAGAAAATGTGAAAGACTCAAGTGCCAATAGCAAAATGTGAACAGATTTTCAATATGTATGTAAATAAAGAAGTTATAGGCAAAAAAATAACTCGATAGAGCTCTTTGGAAGCTGGTGAGTCAATTTTTGAAAACACACGGCATTCTAGAAGACATAAACAGGGCTGAGTGCGAACTTGACCAAGTCGTAGTCGATATAAGAAGTGCAGCACCGGATGGCGTTATTTTTCTCAGAGGATAATTCACAATACCATCTTAAGAAGTTGGCTAAATATAATCTCACGAGTTCGTGATAAACATTATTCTACAGGAATTTTGGAAAAATTATCTAGGAACCAAATCACTTTCACTATTTGGTGAAAATATGCAGAAACGTGGGAGGTGACTGTCTATACATAACCATAACTTTCAAACCAGTTCAATGAAATTACTGTTAGTGAGTAATGACTGAATATCTATACATGTGATAGTAATTACTGAATATTTTTCAATTATGTTCATCAATATGAGATCTATAATCCACCAATATATGTTTTCATTTCGCTAAAAGCAAACTTTTGGGGATCATGGGATTGTATGCATTTCAATCGATTGAGCTTGGTGTTTGAGGGATGATGTTGATATTATTTCCAAATAAAAACGATTGTTTTTCCCGTTGTTCCCAACGCAGTTACTACGACGCTGGTATTTGACTCTGGTTTTGTATCATCATTGGTGGGCTTGGCTTGGTTTCTTTCAAATAGATTATGTACCATTAAGGACAGGTAGCCAGATTTCATTAATGTTCATTACATATTTTTTCTATTGAAGTAATTACTACGTTGAGAACAACGAAACAACTCTTGCACCAACTGGGGTAATGCGACCGTTACCACATCCCCTTTGATAATACATACCGCAGTAGTAGACGAAACGTCAGACATATAGACCTGCAGATCACGGCCAAAATCTCGGAAAATAGCTTTTACACGGATGAACTCCTGTAGTAAAAGTTTCATCGTTTTTTTTTGCATCAGATGGGGGACTCAGGGTTAGTCATAGTAATTGGTATAGTAAATGTTAAAAATGAGAATGCAGAGTTTTTCGTCAGTGGTTGAACTACTGCAAGTTATCGTTCTATTCTGTAATAGTGTCAAGACCATTTTCGAAAAGACTAGATTACTGAAGGATGTCCAAAACCTTTTTTTAAGTTCACCACTTCATATTATCACCTTTCAATATGAATTCAACACTATGGACAAAATTTGAGAAATAATTTATGCAAAATATCCCCTGTATTTTTTCTCCGAATGATCTTCTACTAAATATTAATGAGTATTTCATAAATGAATGAGACGTATTTTCAATTCAAGAAGATTTATGATGTATCATATTTATAAAAATATAACTTACCTCACTGGATCCTTCAGTTCCTCTATGATGAAATTTAAGTAATTCCTACAATAATACAGACAGTTAATATTGAAAGGTAAATATTTTTAGGAGAGATATGTGTGACTGATGACTTGTTTATTTTGTGGTTCAACCCAATTATTAAGTATAAAAATGAAATTTGAAATTTGAAAAACTCGATTATATCGGGAGTTTTCAGGTAAGATAGGACAGGGTGCCTGTCAAAATTCGACAGTGAAGATTATAGGGGTTGTTAGACTTATAAATTCAAGAGTGGAGACCTACATAAATCGAGATGCTCGTTTAGGGGTATATATTTCTGATATTTAATTGATTTGTTCATTTCCATGGCTTCCAACCAATTCATTTTTTCATATGTGTAGGATTTTGAGGTTATCTTCACTCATTTTGTGTTTTGATTCTTGAAGATGTTCATACATTAAAGATTTTTTGTCCAAACAGACGTGTTCACGGAACCTTACGTCAAAATTTCTACCGGTTTGGCCTGTATAGGTATACCTACTGCAAAGCATTCGCCACACTCTATTCCATATTTTATTTTCATTCATTTTCATTTTCATATTTTGTTTGGTACAATATCTACCTGATTTTTTCATTATATCTCGTTTGAGTTTTGCATTAGAGAGAGTTGTGCCTAAATTTTTGTTACTTATGAAAGCTGTTGTTATTTTGTATTCAGAGGAGCAATTATGAATATTTTCTGAAAGTTTACCTGAGTAGTTGATACTACTATACTTGGATATATTTTGTTCTCTTCAGTTTGAGTATAATTTACTTATACTTATAAGTGTTTTATGAGTTTCACCTCATATTATCTCTTGTATTAGAGAAACTAGTACCTGATTGTTTACTGCAATTTGCTTAATTATTTTTAGTTCATCTTGGAATTTTTTTTCAGGTGGAGAGATTGCGAAAGCTCTGTGCACCATTGGCCTAAACGAAAATAACTTATGTGAGAGTGGACTGAAAGAGTCAAATGGAAATCCTACAGTGTTTTTCCGGTAGATATTGAATTGAAAACCATCGTTGACTGTTGAAATATTCAAATCTTAGAAGTTAAGCTCCTTGTTTTGTTCGACTTGTACTGTGAATTTAATTTTGTTATGCAGACTATTGAGAACGTTCAAAAATTGATAAATTTGTCTGTTTGACCCAGGAGGAGAGATAAGATCTACACATCTTTGTGAACTTGTGAAATTCGTTTGCTCTGTTTCTTCCTTCGGAAGGTAATTTCAGGAAAATTTCAGGTAATGTAGAAAATTGTTCATTTCAAAGGTGTAGATCTTTATATTTCCTTCAACTTTTATTTTCAGTTTTTTCCAACATGAAGTTCAGTTTTGGTATAGATCATGAAGAACATTTTCCACCTCTGATTTCACCCTATATCATCACTCGCTCTCTTAATCAATTCTAATTCATTTTTTCGCAATGATCAGATCATTTTCTCTCCTTAATTTTTTATGCTCTTATCAATTTTTTTCTGTCCAAAAATTATTCGCATTGACCTACCAACTACACAATCGTCATTTGTTAACAAATCCCTGAAAAAACCCGCTAAACCTCTCACGCATTCAGTATTCCAAAAGCTTTCACATCACATCAACTCTAATTCTTCCATCAATCGACTCAAGGCTTCAATTTCCCAGTGAAAATTCTCGGAACATACGTTGTTTCCCTCTCAAACCGTCTCAGAACTAATTGATCTAGCAATCTCATCTCCTCACTCTTGAATTCGAAATCAAAAACTGTTCTCACCATCCGTTGTAGGCGAAAAGGCCGGAATAAAACGACAACGCCAGTGACGTCACGTCGCTTTCAGTGTTGATGAATGAAAAGTGCTCCGTGTGTCCTGTAAATGAAGGAAGAGTTTTTTCAGATAAAGTCAGCAAATGGAAGTCGAGATTCCGTGCGATCTCGAGAGAGACGCAGTTGTTCATCTTCCTTTTGTGTGAATCGATCAATGAGCCACAGATTTGGTTCTGAATTGTAATTCAGTTCAGTCTCGCCAAATATTGTAATTGGTGAGAGATTGAGAATATTACAGGGGGTTCAATTCAATAACATACTAATGTTCAAGGAGGTTCCTTTCGGGTCCATTTTGAAAAAACAATTATATGAACATATATACCAAAAGTCCTAACTACAAAAATGTTCCAACTACCAACATATCAAGAAAAAATTCTTATTCCTAGATATATCTGTGAAATCAAAAAGGCTACTTCTGTGCATTTCCAGCTGAACGATATAATCGATCATTATTTTCAGGGGCGTCAATGATAATGACAATATTAACGATATAACTGCTTCACCCCATAAAACATGCCCACTTCTTTCATATGGATGGTCTTAAAAGTTATGCTTTGGTGATAAGTGATCTAATATTAGTCCTTGAGGGTCGTGAAAAAGTACATGCAAACTGTCAGTATAAAATTCAGAAAGGACAAATGTGCAAAAGTCAATCTAAAAATTAGACCATTCCCGGATTACATTGAGGATATGCAGCTCGTAAATAAAAGCTTCTTTGCACCAACTGGATGCCATATAGTCATAGGCATACCTGGAAACAACCTCAGTAAATACCCTCCTCTATAGTATGAGCACAAACTCCGAAAGTTTTGGTGATAGGAAATGTCGGAAAAGAAAAAAGAAGATCAACATCGTTTCAGCAATGTGTCCTTAGTCCTTATGTAATAGTCAGTAAATCCATTAATTATATTCTAACAAGCTATATAGTATGCTATTTGGTATTGATCCGTTATTATGTTATTATTTTTACTCATTTCTACACTCTCAAAGGCATCTAGTTGACTATTGTTAACTTTTCTAACTAATTTCAATGAACTGAAGTCTATGGAATGGTTTTGTTGCAAAATATGATGGGCAACTGCTGATTTTTCAGGTCTCCCATATTTTAAGTGTGCTAGGTGTTCCTTATATCTTACTTCAATAGATCTTTTTGTTTGTCCATAATATTTTGCATTGCAGTCCTTACATTCAATTTTGTGAATTACAGACTCTTCCGAATTCTCGACTTTGTCTTTTTGTTTTGGAGTAATGAAGTTGACTCTGCTTCATCAACTCTATTTATGAACCAAAAAAATTATGTATGACCATAGAAATTTGTTTCCCAAATGTTCTATTCCACGATTATACTCTTTTCGGGATAGGGAAGCCGTAGACTTTTGAGTTTGGTGTGATTACATAACAAAATGATGTTGTATAGGCATCAGGAGTTCGTATCCCCTTCTCTGCATGATCCGCCACCAAGAGGGTACAGAGTTTTCAACACTGAATTGGAATTCGCTCAGCAGGAGGCTCATATCAGAACACCACTCCTAAAGATACACAAATATAAGGCGATGCATGGAATTTTCTGATTTGAAAACTTCGATTGCCGAAATACTTTTGCTTTCCTCTGGTTGAATGGTCTGAATTCAGAAACTTTGAATCTGCCAGGATATCCAACTTCTAGTCTTATCGAGTGATGGGTACAGAGGTTCCTAACTTTATGTTCAGGCCAAGCCACAAGGTGTTGATTCTCTTATGCACTTGTTAGCATGTCCAATGAGTTCTCCATCACCATATTTGGCACACCTGAGGTATTGATGAGACACTGATGTAACTTTATGCTCTAGGAGGCATTGAGTCAGTTGTGGGGAATGAGAAGTGCTGAATTCATTGCTACTATCCATTTCTCATCCTCAAGCTGAGACAAGCTAATGAACTTGAGTTGCACTGTCTGAAACCTTTGGTGTGGTAATGAATATTACTAGATTTCTATCCCAATACCTCAACACGTGTTTCAGTCACCAAGGGATCATCTTCAAGAGGGAAATTGAACTCACGTTGATCTTTTTTCTGAAAATGTTTACTTGGTGATTGAAACACGTGTTGAGGTGTCAAAAATAACGGTTTGGTATTGGGTTGAAACTCCAGTGATATTCATAAGCTGAAGAGTTAGATATAGATGAGATGGTATTGGTTGTGGAGCTTCAACTGAGAAGGATATCCACCAAAATGAAGTGAAAAAGCGCCAAACCACTCTATTAATTTGGTTTTCCTGTTTATCATAGTCCTTCGTGGTTTGATGCCTTTTCAGATCTCGAACCTCAAGATTATACCTGCTTGCCGCACTAAGAAATTGCAGAAGATTGTCATTCTTGACCCTTTGGAACTGTTAAGGTATACCTTCCATTATATCGAAGCATTGTGAAGATAACCTAACCGGCACAACTTTTTCAGGTCTGCGATGAATTGAAAACATACAATTGTGCCTGTATATATAATGAAATGTACAATATGATCAAATCATGTAGTTTACCTACGTTCGAAAAACTTGTTATGATTGAATAATCATCTGTTCCATAAAGCGTCATCTATAATATTGACAGTAGACTCAATCGATACACAAGGCTCCCAAAGGCGGTCCATCACAAAGTCAAGCTCCAACAACGACCACCAAATGAGATTTTTACTCTATTTTCCTCTGCAACTTGATCATGTGCATCGAAAAAGTGCCCATTGAACCTCGAGAAGAAAATATGGTCGAACCAATCAACTACCTCATATTTTGGCCCACACATCAATAGAAATCTGCTTCTGGTGGTAGAATTCTTAGATTGCATACGGGTTCTCTCCAAACCAGGTATACTCATTATAAAAAACTGGCTACACCAGTGAATGAAATTTCAGTATCAAATGAAGGATTTTCATTCACTATTCACATTGAAATCACATTGAAAAAGCAATGGCATATCAATTTGTTTTCAAAATGATGCTAGAAAATACCGCATCAACGTCACTGACAAGTATAAAAAATATTTCACACGGCAGAATATACCTTTTGAAACTTCAAAATGAATCTGAACAGAACCTTCTCGAATATTAGTATGTTGTTAAGGAACTCCCTGTTTATTCTCGATGAAGAGTTATATTTCATTTACTACTTGACTTCTCTACAGAATATAACCTGTCAGATGAAATAATTAATGCAAACACTGTTAAATCAAAGAGGACTGACTCAACTAATAAAGTTGTGGAAAGAATAGATTTTGGAAAATGTATATGAACATCACCTTTGAACAGCTCATATCCTCCAGCAGCTATGATGATGAACAAGGCCAGCAGTTTGGCGTACGTGAACACATCTTGAACTCTTGTGGCCCATTTCACGTCATAACAGTTGACGAACGTCAAAACGCCTGAAATAAGAAACTATAAAAAATTCACAATCACTGAATTTTATAAAGAAACTAGCTTACCCGGCAAACGTTGTTTTGCCACATGAATTATTTCTAGAAAATGTCTAGGGTAAAAAATAAAAACTAAGTCATTATTGGTGTGTGTCAGAACAATAACACTTACAAATTATATTTATTCATCCCTAAATGAGAAAGTGTGTACCGTCCATGTTCAGCTAACACACACAAACTGTATGGATTACTCGAGAGCATGCTACATATAATTGTTCGAGTGAAAAACATGTTGTGCTCAAATCCAAGCCACAAACAGACATTGCCAATCTAATTGGAAATTGCATAAGTTCAAAATAAATTGGCACATCTGTCGGTACAATAGGAATTCGTGATATTGATATATTTTCATCTTGGAACTTGCCATTCAAAATGCTGGCTCCGACAAGGTTTTTTAAAACTTTTTTAATGACTAATCGCGTCTTGTTGCATAGCCGTGGTGGATGCAAATTGCGGTTGTGAGTTATGCGGTAGCATGCCTATCAAGTCCAATGAGTTCAAAAACTCTGTTGGATAATTCACAGCTTCAGTGTCATTGCAAACTGAATGTATGCCCGATAACAATGGCCCAAAACTGTGTAAGGATTGAGAGAATGCTAATTGTGTGAGAGAGATAGGGGACTATATCCGTTCTCATCCCCACACCGTGCTGTTTACTGAGTGAGAACTGACACCGATAGACGCCTGGCGGAAATAACTAATCTATGATATCTATGATCTGAAATTGATTTTAAAAAAGGGGTTGGTGATACAAGGCTGTAAATTGAGAGTTATATGTATTTTTCAATGAAAAATAGTATCACTCCACTACATTTGAAATTTGATCGTTTCAGTGCAAGAGAGTTCAAGATTATCAGCATTTATAAAAGTTCATGTTTGGTAAAAAAAATATCGAAATTAATTTATATCTTCTAAATGGTAATAGATGGGTATAAGGAAATAGTATATGAATTTGTTGACAAAGTGATAATGAATCATAATATGATATTATATACGGGGTGTTCTATTTGAAAAATCAAAGAAGCCGCTACTTAATAGTAGAAGCGACAACGCCGCTCCGTCTGAAATATTTTAGGCGTGTAGGTCATATTGATTCATGCATACTGTGAAATTTTCAGGTTGATCCGTTAAATAGTTTGTCAGAAACGGCTAATTAACGCTCATCATGAAAAGCCCTGTATAATGCACTTCCGGAGTTTTTCAAAATTATAACCAAAGAACAAGTATTAAACATAAAATAGAACAACTACTTTTTGAAATTATCTCCAAAATCGATGAGTTTTTTCTTATCTACATTAGTAACACATATTTTGTATTATTTTTCATTTTTGCTGCTTTGTTCACTTGTTTCAATAACTCTTGTTATATGAATGTGACTGTTTTATAGTTGTATTTTATATATGTATCTGATATGTACTGACTTGTCCAATTGCTAGTTTTAGGCTCATTTTAATGGATCAATAAAATATTATCATTATTATTATTATAAATAACACTGCGACACGAGAATTGTATATAGATATTATATATTAGATACTCCAGTCTCATTTCATCAAATAGTATCAACTGTAAAAGAGGGTGTTTGAAAAAATATAAACAAGTTTTAGGGTGAATGAAAGACAAATCCTGAGTCATGTACAAATAAATAAATGATAAACCCAATATACAAGTCATCAATAAACCTACATGCCATAGTGTTATTAATTTTTTCTGGACATTCAGAACTTAGTACTTATTTGTCGAACCCCTTTCCATAATGCCCAACTAATGACCATATTGCTCGACGTAACAAAATGAAATAAACCGATCCTTTCCTTCCGAAGATATAATGATGAACATAAATCCGAGACTTTGTGATTTCATCAAAGGAAAGCAATCTTACTTTACGTTCCAACAAGATTACTCTACGGATTCATTAAAGAGACATTGTTTCAAGTTCTGTCTGACCGAATTAGCAGTTGTCTCAAAACATAATACCCAATCTGGAAAGCAAGCTTTAATTCTGTTGAATCCTTTCAGAAGTTCTTGATGAAATTCTCCTTGGTTTCTTCCAATTCAACGAGAATCATTTTCTCGGAGAATATTTCGTAATGAGTATCACAACAGAATTCATCCAGGTATATAATGGAATCGGCCGATATTTGATAATCCATAACATATTCAAGACACACTTCACTATGACTTTTCTATGGCACGGGCACAGTTGATAAAACACATGGGCTGAAAAAACGCGATACCACTTTTGTAGAACGATTTATCTTTTTCCTCCAAATAGACCCCAGCTTCAGCAATATAACCTCTTCATTCAAGGGATATTTCTTACCCGTGTGCATTTTTTTGGGCCCAGCTACTGCTGGGGCAGTCGCTGGAAGCCAAGTCTGGCGAATACGGTGGATGTGAGAAAAATTGGGAAGGTAAATTCATACAGTTTCTCCATTATTTTCATTGACTTGTAATTTCGACCTTCAAACGCTCCAATAACACTATATGATGTTCACTGTTGATGGTATTTCCCTTCTTAAGATAGTCGATGAATATTACACCACGCACATTCCAGAATATCGAGGCCAAAGCCTTTCCATCCGATTGTTTTGCTTTAATACACTTTGGACGACGTTCATCAGTTGATTCCCACTCAGATGACGATCGTTTTGATTCTGGAGTACACTTATACTCAAGCAAATATGTATGATTGATCATAAAAACCCCAATCCTGCCTAGTACAGCCTCTGGGGAAGTCCCATTGAAGACTTGACGTGCAACGACCTAACATTTTGCCAATGTTTCTTCAACAGCGAAACCCAAAAGTTGACCGAAAGATGGACGTTTTGTACCAGTTCATCGGAATTCATGTCAACATGCTCAACAGCAACAGAAAGGCAAAGTACCTTTTTCATCTGGAACTTGACGATGACCTTGATCTCGTAAATCTTCTGAGTCATCGGCTCTTGATGCGAGAGAAGACCAGGGAACTTGCCGGCTTTGTTTAGACCAGGCCCCAACAGCCTAGGGATCTGCTTGATGAGAGCATCAGAAGCAAGGAAGTCATCATACTTCTTTGCCAGTTACTTGACAAGTTTTTGTTTCTGTTCAGTTTCTTCAAGGCTTCCACTCCATTCGTCTTAGCTTCATCACAATGCTGCTGATCTTCAAGGACACATACTTGCATTTCTAGACGAGGTATGTGCTTCAATTTGACGGTTCCACTGAAACGCTTGTCCTTCTGGGGATCGTAGTTTTTCAGACCGTTTTGGATTTCAGTCTCCATAAAGTTCCTCTTCTTTATTATGGAGATTTCCAATACATCATTCACGCACTCAAAGTATATCACGAGACACTTTGGACGTCATCTTCACTTTTAGGAATTGGCCCCTAACCCTAACCACTACTTTCCTTCTCGAAGAACGGAATGAAAGTGAGTGAAGTGATGGATCCATGTTTCGTACATTGTTACATATCGACCCAATAATTTCGGTTCGTGATGTCTATACATGGCCAAATGCTGCTCTGAATCATCAAGACGTTCTTGTTTTTGGACTCGCGGCACCCACTTTGAACATAGCTTTCTCATAGTCAAATGATCCTGCAATATATAACCATATATAGCCAATATAACTACCATGTCAGCTAACTCACGCAACTTCACTTTTCGAACATTCAAAACGATTTTGTGTTCTGGTGTTACTGCCACATTTGGATGTCCAATGCATTCTGCATTATCGGTGACTCTACGACCACGTTTGAAATCAACAAACCAACGTTCAATTGTTGTTTCTTATGGATCGGAGTCTTTATAAAACTTTTCAAGTCATCGCTTCGCTTGTATTTTTTCCCAACAAGGAGCAGTGTGAAATCAAATTGTTTTTGATCCATTGTTTTGAAAATAACAAAAGTATTCCCACTCTGAGCATAATAACTCACAAACTTATGAGTAAAATATCATGAAATTTCAAATGCTTTCTTTTGAAAAAGCGGTGAATGCCATAAGACTAACGCCATCTATGTGTTAGGCCCGTCCATGTAGTAGAATCCCTAAATTACAAGCGATTTCTCAAAAATGAAAAAGGAACATTCCGTATTTCTTTCTCAGATTGAGAACCAAATCGAAAACAATGATGTTTGCGTATCATTTCTGTGAATATGAGATTTCCACCGCTTGATATTGACTTATTGGTTTCGTTTTGATAATATATCATATTGTTTTTCTTGAACTTTGGAAAACTGCCAAGGTTTGTCCAATACATGAAGCTCAAGATCGAAATGAAATCAATGAGTATAGACCTATTTCAATCGTAAACAACTTTGCCAAGCTTTTAGAAGCAATTCTGTATAGTCGTATCTATCAATCCTCTCGACATATAATATCTGATCATCAACATGGTTTTGTGAACTCTAGATCTACCATCAGTAATTTAGCTGTTTTTGATCAATATTTATGTAAATCGTTAGACCGTAGAGGGCAAGTAGATGTGGTGTACACGGACTTCTCTAAAGCATTCGATAGGGTCAGCCATAATTCACTAATTTGTAAACTTTCTTGCATGAGTTTCAATGAAATTTATTCTCAACTTTTGGAATCATACCTTAACGGACGTAATCAATACGTATATTATCGCGGCTTTTTTTCAGATGTGTATTTAGCAACCAGCGGAGTCCCGCAAGGATCCAATATTGGCCCCTTATTGTTTTTACTATTTATTAATGATCTGTGCGACTCAATAACTTGCAATAAATCAAGGTTTGCTGATGATTTGAAACTGTATACATCTATAAGCAGTTTAGATGATTGTAACATTTTGCAAAAGGAGATTGATCTTTCACAAAATTGGTGTCTCAAGAATCGCCCCCATTTGAATATATCTAAATGTAAAATTGTTACATTCAGTAGAAAACTTAATACACTAGAATTTTCTTACCACATCGACAACATTATATTGGAAAGAGCTGAGAACATTAGGGATCTAGGAATTTATTTTGATCATCAACTAACTTTCAACTACCATAATAATCATATTATAAATTCAGCTTACCGCGCATATGGTTTTAAAATCAGGAACTGCAAAAATTTTCATAATATGCTAATCTTGACCTCTCTGTATTTCAGTCTGGTGAGGCCAAAACTAGAATATGAGTCCATTATATGGAATCCCATATACCATCAATACACATCAGCAATTGATAGAGTCCAAAAGAAGTTTTTGAAATTTCTCACTTTTAGAATGACCGGAACCTATCCTCCAAGAAACTGTTTTGACTTTGTAGCCTTAGAAAAAAGAAGAAATCAGGCATCTGTTTTATTTCTACATGAGCTATTGAATGGCAAATTAGATTGTCCTGTACTATTATCAGAAATTGATATCTTTGTTCCAAGAATATCTTCTAGGCACATCCATACTTTTTTATGCAAAAGTGCACAAACTAACTTAATGTTGAATTCACCAATCAATCTAATGTGTCGTAATGCGAAGAAGCTCTCTACTAACATCGATATTTTTTGTTGCAGTATTGGTGAAATTAAAAATAAGTCTCGTGCGTACCTATAAGTGATTTATGTTTTTTATATCAAATAGTATTGATCCTTCAAATATGTTAGTTTTGCTCTGTAAATGGGAAACTGTTGGTCAATGAACGCTATTATTATTATTATCATTATCATTATTATAATTATTATTATGTTTCGTAGGGAAGACTCTTCTTTATAACTCGCTAGTTGAGCTCCACTGAAATTTTCTCAGCTTTCTGCTCCCAGATATTTCTATTCAAATTTGTCCTTATTTTCAGTAGAATACCCTACTTGGTAAGTAAATCTGAGACCTCTGTTTAAAAAAAAAACTGTTTGAAATCTGTTTCTCCGTTAATCAGCTGTTGCCACCATACGAACGACAACTCTCAGAAGTTGTGAAACTTTTGCGAGCTAAGGACCAACGAGGTCTTACCTTTTAACGTGTGATTCCTAGCACGGTGCTGTGAAATAAATGATGCTTGTTTTACTATTCATACGTTTTGCTATCAGGCAAAAATGGTTCAGTCAGTATTCGAAAATAGTTTTCAAAACTAGCTATGAAAATTCCGATAAAACTGTATTGATCAAGCTAAGCAGACTGTAATAACAAATACTACTTGAATGATTTCAATATATTACCAACCTAACAATCAGGGTTCCGGGCAAACCTCAGCTGCTCAACAGCTCTTACGAAAGTTGAAGAGGATTTACATTGTTCTGTGGACAATAACAAACTTTGTCTTTTAGTATTGCTGAACTGCTCCAAAGCATTTGATCGCATTAACCACTCCCGACTTCTGGCAATACTAAAGAACCTGGGTTTTGCCTTTAGAGTGGTACCTCTGCTTGAAAATTACCTACTAAACCGTTCTGAGTGGGTAATAACAAAAAATTGACTACCTTCAAAATGAATCATGGGGTCCCTCAAAGATCGATTTTAGTTCCACTTCTCTTTTTTTTAGGATATAACACAAGCACCACATGACATCATTCAATCTGTTGTAGAATTAATGAATGGATAATGTACAAGTAGAGCTAAACTGTTCTGTTTAAATCTGTTTAAAATCTGTTTTTCCGCTGATCAGCTGTCGCCCCCATACGAACGACAACTCTCAGAAGTTGGGAAACTTGTGCGAGCTAAGGACTAACGAGGTCTTATCTTTTAACGTATGAGTCCTAACAATACATCAACCCTAACAATAAACTCCTCTGGATCATCAGTTACGCTGGGAAAATAATATTACATCTATATAGACACCATGTGAATGTATCAATCAATAATTTTTTCAATTTTTTTCTGTAGATAATACCTTCATTCATTACTAGCTCACATCTGAAAATATTTGTTAGCGGTTGAATTTTTTCATATGAAAATCTGTACTCACATATGCAGCATACAGCTAACAACCTAGCAGCATTATCTGGTGGATCACACTCCGGAAAAAAAGGCTTCATAACGTACTGACTGAACGTTAGGGCTACTATTGCCTGACTGCAGGGTCTAACTATCATGCATTCTATCCATAACCTGATGAATGCGACGAATGGTCCGAAAGTTTCCATGATGTACGCGTAATCTGCTCCGCTCTTCTTTATCATGGTTCCAAGTTCTGCGTAGCAATAGGCGCCTACCTGAAAATAACAATAACATATAAAGCTTGGTAAATCTAGCTGTGCCTTTGAATATTGGATGAGCAGTAGATCAGCCGGCGAAATGAGAAGAAAGCTCATTATCATCGAAGAACTCGAGTAGTGACATCGTGTTAGTCCAGTAAGCGGAAACATGATTTAATGTGATGAACTGTGAGTTATTTTTGTCTCAAATAATGTTCTCAAACAGTAAACTGATAAACAAGGTTCTCAGTGGACAAAGCAGAGAAATTGTGATCAACGTATTGATATTTATGCAAGCGAAAGAGATGGCAGATGAAGTAAGAATTCCTATTAGGAAGGTGACAAGTGATAGTAATTATGAGTGAAATTGTAACCAATATTGTACTTCAACTTTGGAGGATCAAGAACGAGTAGCTGACGCCACAGGGTCAATTATTGATTTACATAATGATTTACATAATGAGGATGGCAACACTGCATCGAAACAGGAATATAAGGATGACGTTTCAGAGCATGAATATTATATTCTATCCGGAATCGAAACACTTCCTGACGAAAACCATGTATCGATAGTTGGCAAAATATTATATTATTATTTTTAGGCAACCAATCTTTGATAATATATGAATAGTGTTTATGTATACAGAATGTTTACTGAACATGCGGCAAAAATTTAAGGGACTGTTACCAAAAATTACTTGAATGTTTCTCAATCTACAAGAAATTTTGAAAATGACTACCCCCGCTCGTATGCAAGAATCCAATCTTCTCGCCATCGACTCCCGAACTCTTCCAAAAACACCACGATCGTTTCTGATCGAGTTACACCTAGCAATTATCCGATTTCTCAAATCTTTCACATCTTCCACTGGAATAGTATGAAATAATGACTTCAGGTGGCCCTATAGGAAATAATCTAGAGGGTTCAAGTCTGTTGATCGAGCGGGGCATAAGTGAGGTCCACCTCGACCAATCCAGCGATCTCCGTATGTTACTGTTGAAAACTCTCGAGCCAATATGCTAAAATGCGCTGCTGCCCCATCGTGCATAGACCACATTGCATTTTTTCTAACCAATGGTACATTTTTCAGAAACTGAGGTAGCGTCTGTTCCAAAAAGTTGCGGTATACTTCGCCGGCAAGTCTTCCTGGCAGAAATACTGGTCCAATTAGAAAGTCACCTACAATTCCCACCCAAACGTTTGACAAAATTAATGTTGAAAGCGATATTCAAGCACCTCATATGAATTTTCTTCATTCCAAACATGGATATTGTGAAAATTCTTTATGGAAATCTTCACGTGGAAAAAAATCTGCAGGAAGAAGTGCCTCAAGTCATTGTATATGGTATGAGTACAACAAATGGGCTATAAGAATGTTCCAAATTGTCCCGTTACTTACATTTAAAGTATTTGCAATTTTTCGGGTAGCGGTACCTTGATCTTCTTCTATTATGGCCATCACATTCTCTCCTACTTCTACCGTTCTTACTGACATTGGCCTTCCAATGAATTGCCATTAGCAAGTCCATAAATGAAATGCATGTCAGCCGTCTCTGCGTTACTATAGCCTTTCATGATGGGGGACTTCACTAACAAGACTTCAAATACTAATAAACACAGAAAATGCATGTCAAGTATGCATGTCATGCATGTCAAGAATGTCTGCAGCCGTTTGTAGTGATCGGAATTTTGTTGATAGGTACCAACGGAATTTATAGATTTTTTATCACTTGGTAGGTCCAGTGTAGTATGTTATTCAGGGATTTCAAATCAATTTATATTATATTAGACAATGGAAGTCCAAACGGATGAAATACTCCACGAGACATTGTCAACCACCTTCAAACAGACATCCTTAGAATAGTCCATAGAATAGTCCCTTGATTTTTTGCGTCATATTCAATAAGCACCCTGTGCTTATCAATGTTGAAAGCAATGTTTTGTCACAATCATTTCTGCAACTATACATTCAATTTTCGATTGTGATTTTATACATTTTCTCTCAATTAATTTGAACCACAATTCTTTTCCCGATTGTACTTCCTAATAAAGAATATCTCTTTATCGTTTGCGCATCTCAGGAGCACAGCTAGATTTGCCAAGCGGAACTAATTCCTCAATGAATTGTCGAAATATTGCCGCGAATGAGAAATATTTCAAAACCTGGCACATCTCATTTTTATAGTAAAAACACAATTCAAATCAAGGCCCACTAGATGAAATCCATGGAGTAACGTGTAATTGAATCCATTTACAAGGTTGTTATGTGGTATACAGCTACAATTCATATGAAATATGAATCATAAAATATATCGATTTACTTTTTCGTACACTATATTGTATTTCACGCAATTCAAATGTTGCATCATGCTTTCAAGTTTTTCTCTCAAGTTTAATATACTTGTTAATAACAATTGTTGAAGGGAGCAATTCAAGCGAAAACTATAAAAAGTAATTGATAATTGAACTATGATAATGAAATAGTAGACCTCTTGTAGAGAGTTCAATTATATCTCAAGGGAATACGTTGAAATTCTATAGTCTTGAAGGATCTCAAAATCTTGTATATATTCCTTATAATAATAATAATGTTTATTTCATAAGATTGAATATATATACATATAAACAAGAAGAAATGCAGAAATAAACATGACCAGCCACTGAAACTCATAGAGCTAGTGTACGACAAAAAAAAACTGAAATAATAAACTAAGTTAAGAAGTTTTGTGTGTGATGTCAGTTGAAATGGAAAAATAAATAAAGAGATGAACATGGATCAGTGTTACAAACTAAACTATCGGTCATAGCATATCATTTATACAGCATATACGTAGAGTAATTGAAAGTCATATGTCTTATATTTCATTCAATGTTCTGTTTTAAATATGATCCTTGATGACTGCACTTTTGTAGAGTTGCTGTCTATTCTATAAGGTAATTCCTTGTTCAGAAAGATTGCAACAGTACAGAATGTGGTGAACAATAATGACAGATGTGAATTAAAACATATGAATAAAAGTACAAATATACGTATAAAGCTGGTGTAGATCATGAAGTATGAAATTGTTTCAATTTATACTTGTAAATATCTACATTCTTTTTTGTGAGAACATGTGCCTTTTCTTTCTGTACTACTACTTCATTTTTTTTCGTTCCAATATATATTTTACCTTACCTATTGTTATATTAGTTAGCCATAATTTCAGTTCTTTTATAAATCTGTTATCACTTGTGATAGACTTGTAACTTAAAATCGATATATTGATTTTTGAAAACTTTCACCCCGACAGGGTTTATTACTGTGACACATACACCACCATAATACAACAATGACTTTCAAAACAGAAACCATATATATCCACCTATGGAAATACTTAGGGTAGCGCATTTATCAATGAAAGGGTTTCTGGCTAGCCTATTATCTGCTCATGAAAATGTTACGGAAATAAACCGAGCCTGACCAATATGACCTCCCATGAGAAATTGAAAGCACGCAACTTGATCCATAGTTTTCTGTCCTGGATTGTACGATACGTTGGATTACATGTTCTATCGAATTGTGACTTTATGAAAAATGCCTGGAAATATCTTAAAAATTGAAAAAATCACGACTCGAATATTCTAATGACAAGTGTTTTATTGACAAAATTGATAATTTACCAGATGGCATGATAAAATGAAAAAAAATCCTGCATAAACAACTGAATGTAAGGAAATATTCAATTTGCCAGTTGCTTGGAATTAAGGTAGAGCCAATGCTATAGTCATTGGATGCACAATTTTTCAACTAATTCAGTTATAATAGACGTTTTTATTGAATCAAGTTGGAGGTCATTTTTATGTTAAGTGGTTGTTGTCGCTAGACACTTTCGAAACAGTTGTTCAAAGCCCAACATAAAACTATCCTAGCTTGTTTTTTGTACTCAATGAAATTATGAAATAATGATTTCATTTCATGCAAATTTTTTGTTGCATGCAAGTTACAGTGAAAACGAAAGTTTTTATTTAGCAAACGTTGAGATCTATTTGTTTGATATACCAAAGCAGAACAACATGCGCTTGTAATTGTGTTCAGTTCCCTCATTAGACCGCATATTTAAACAGTTAATTCAATAAACTTTAAGTTCCTGGGAATAACCTTCTTCAAATAGTTTAATAAATATTTCCATATTGACAGATAGTTACATGAACATAATGCTTCCAATCACAATTTTTGGTGGTAATAATAATTTATATTTTTTGTCTCCATATATATCTTTGAATATTATATGACAGTCTTCCTGCCGCGACTATCTGTTTATCTTACGTCATAAATTCATCTTCAACACTACATACGTCTTGTTCTATCCCTATTGTGAACTCCATTGTCGGTTCCTACTCGTTAATATTATTTCAAAAAGCATTTTCATAATCATGTTTTTTATTCCAAATGGCATCATCAACACATCTCCACCAACTTTGAAATCGTCCCATTGAGTTTCAACAGAAGATTCTTCGAAATGATCCAAATATATGTAACTTAAGATGGGAGATGGGGGGGATAAAAGTCATCTACAAATCATCCATCGGCTCTTGATGACTTGAAGTTGAGTCGATTTCCAATCTGGAACCCATAATTTGAACAGTTTCATAAACAGGTACATTCGTGACAAAATTTTCAACATCGTCTTCATCACCTAATGTTGAATGTTCATTCATAAAAACACAAGCACTACAGTTTATTGGCGCACTTTCTAACTACGATGAGAGTTTCGAAATTACTAAAAGATATTTCGATAACACGGGCCAACGATGAAAAAACTTTTTTACTCAAAAGACTTATTATTCTGTTTTTTTTGGGTGCTGAATCCAAATATGACACGCATTAAGCCCTATCATCTACCATTTTGTCATATTTGCACATCAATTTATTGAATTTTTTGATTTATTACAGAATTTAACAGCTTTTATATACTACAAATGAAATTGTAAAATAATTTGTGCTGGCTGTAGAAGAGTTGGCAGCACTGCTGAAACA